ATTTACAGATATACTTATAAACGATTGGACATGTTCAGATGAACCGCTTTGATAATGGAGTATGGAGCCAGTCCAGACTCGCCCAACTCAGATCCAATCCCGCTTTGCTTCACCCCTCCAAATGGGACCTGGTCGTTACAGTCTTGACTCGAGTTGATCCAAACCATACCTGCTTCAAGTTTCCTGGCAACTCGGTGAGCCCGCGTTAGGTTTTCAGTGAAAACAGCGGCTCCAAGTCCATATTCCGTATCGTTTGCCATTTCCAAGGCCTCGTCCTCAGTCTTAAACTTAACGATAACTGCAACAGGACCGAAAATCTCTTCGCGGTATATTCTCATTGTGGATGTGACCCCTATAAAAACCGTAGGGGCGATAAAGAATCCTTTGCCGTTGCCAACAGTTTTTACTGCACTCCCCCCTGTTATTACACTGGCCCCTTCGCTTGTACCGATTTCGATGTATGATAATATGCGATCGTACTGTGCCTTCGATACTTGAGGCCCCTGGAAAGTCCCTTCAGCAAATGGATCCCCGACCTGCATCGACTCCACTCGTGTTTTGAATGCCGCAAGAAACTCATCATAAATTCCTTCTTGAACCAGAATGCGGGAGGTCGCTGTACAGATCTGGCCGTTATTCCACATAACACCGCCGTGCGCCCATTTGACGACTTGATCCAGTTCTGCGTCATTGAAGACCAGCAATGGGCTTTTGCCGCCAGTCTCTAAGGTTATGTTTTTCATGTTGAGGCTGGCATATTTCATAATCTCTTTTCCCGTAGCAGTACTTCCTGTAAATGCAATTTTATCAACGCCCATATGCTTTGCTAGAGCAGCGCCAGCGACTCTGCCATGGCCATTAATGATGTTGATCACGCCTGGTGGAAATCCAGCCTCCTTGACAAGGCTTGCGAAATACAAGATAGACAGCGGAGTCTGTTCAGCCGCCTTCAAAATCACGGTATTTCCGCAAGCTAGAGCAGGGCCTAGTTTCCACCCAGCCATCTGGAGAGGATAGTTCCACCTAGTGAGATCAGTAAAGCTGTGGCTTCTAGGTGGGAATAGTCTCAACAACGTCGATTCGAAGCTTTACTTACGGTATTATTTGGCCACAGACGCCAATCGGCTCTCGAATTGTGTATGCAAATTTTGCGGGGCCAGTTCCCAAGACAGATCCATTGATTTTATCTGCATATCCAGCATAATACTTGATCACTGCTGCAGTGGCCGGGACATCTTCGCCGACAGAAACACTGTACGGCTTACCATTGTTCCATGTCTCAATGGTGGCAAGGGTTTGCAGGTTTTGTTCAATTAGCTGACTTAATTTAAGCATCAGATTGCCCCTTTCAGTGGGTGAAATCTCGCTCCAGCTGGGATCTTTGAATGCTCTTCGTGCAGCCTGTACTGCATGATCAACGTCTTCTTCAGAAGCAGTATAAACAGAGGCAATTATTGACTCGTCGCTGTACACTATTAGTACATGTTTTATATCCGTCAGAACAAAGAGATGCTATGCAAAGCCAAGAGACATACGCCGGATTAAACACGTCGAGCGTTTCGTTGTTTGAAGACTTGACAAACTCATTGTTGATAAACAGGCCAAGAGGTTGAGTGTATTTGTGGCCATTTGGCGCCGTGAGTTCTTTAAATAGATCTGCCATCTTTAAATTACCGAAATTTGACATTAGGTTGCAAATGTTTGAGAAGGAAGAGGCCACAAGATATATCTAGGTCTCATATGCCCATGCATTTTGCTCTATCACATAAACTGGAGCTGTTACGCTAATATCGCGATGCATTGCCGAAGCCGTATTAGCGCCCATGGAGAAGGCAAACATAGGTGCCTACGGAGTGGAGTTATTTCTAAACTACCTGCTAGATCTACTGGCCATACTTCTAATATTATTACCTGAAAACAACCAAGAACGAAAGGCGTAGTTATCCACAAGTCAGACTCTTTGGGTAATCGCCTTATAGTTTATGCTATTACTGAGCACACTAGTAACCCAGACACCCACCCATTTGCCGTGAGAAGCCACGGTTGCCGAACTTCCAACGAATTATTCTTTGAGCGACATCGGATCGGAGCACGTACTTGGTGCCTCTGGCGTTGTGCCGCACTAATGGCCAGAATCAACGCAGAATACCAAGCACAACCTCACCCACGCATTCAGCCACCCTAAAAGTTAAGCATCATATAAATTCTAGCAAATTTTAAATCCAGATAATTCTTAACTATACTTACAAAAGATTAAGCAGTGTACGTAAGAGTAAATATAGCTTTAAAGCCATACAACATAATGAGGTGTTGCACTCTGAATCCGAGCCGGAGTGTAGGCGCGAAGTTTGTTCTTAGTTATCAGTATGGTCCCTTTCAAGCAGAACACATCGTCATATAGTCTTCCGATGCAGAAATGAGAATTGGAGGCATTATTCTTCAATAAGAAACCCACAATTGGAACAGGCTCCGGCTCATGAAGGTTCTGGGATACTGTCTACTTTCGAGTCTATACTACAACAAGGCCCGAAGACCTTGAGAAGATTGTGTGATCGATGCCCAGCGGGCATCTAGATCTTCCATTCTCTCCGTAGTGATGAGATATTGTTCTGGGAACCATGAGCTAACATCCCTCTTTAAGATCATTTCCGCTGTCGCTCTACCACAGAGCCAGGCGTTCACCATGCCGTACCCATTGTACCCAGCACTGATCCACTCAGCTGCAGAATGGCTACCACTGGGGCGATCAAGTGCTGCTTGTGGGAGCTTCCCAACCAGTGGAAGCCCATCAAGTGGTGTGCACATTATGCCAGTCCACGAAGATTTTACTTCAAGTCCCCGGGGGTTATCTCCTGCTGAAGAGGGGGTTTTCTTAAGGATGGATGGTAAAATGCCAACTAGGTGAGCCTTTGCGACCACGTTTTCGTTCTCATCTGAAGATTCGCCTAGTTGGGAGAGATATGCATCTTCTCCGATATCCCCTCCTCCAAGAAATACATCGCCCGTCCGTGCATTTTGACTTAGGTAGTCGAAACCGTTCTCGAAATAGAAACTCCAAGATCTCCGGCCGTCCAGGGCAGGATATTCCGGTCCAGGTGCCTGTACTGTCATCTGACCTCGTCGTGGGAAAACGAGACCTCGAAGGCGAGGGAGCAAATGGCCAACATGACCTTCAGTGCAGTGAACAACGTGCTTTGCCTTGATGCAGCCTCTGGGTGTGTTGATAAGGTAAGGGTACTCATTGGATTGAACTCTCGTAATTGATGTGGCTGGTGTATGTTGTTCGACCGAGAAACGCTCATGATATTTTTCGAGCAAAGAGCTGAATATTCCCAAGATGAGCCGATATGGCCAAGCAGCTCCTGCACGGCCAATGAGTGCGCCAGCTGCATCAATTAGGCCATACTTCTTGTTTCACGTTAGAAGATACCGGTATATGGACGCATATAACGTACCTTGGTGGCCTCTTCTGGCCCACAAATCCGCCATTGGCCTTTCAGATCAGGAAATGCTTCTTCAAATTGCTTAAGCATGGCAGTCATATCATTCATCTTTGTCTGGCTCAATATTGCGGAGACGGTTTGAACCTCTCTAATCTCAGAGTCCTCGAATACACGATTCCCGAACTCTCGAGCCGTAGAAGCTATACTTTCGAAGTGGGAGAGCGAAAAACGCACCATCTTCACAGCTACATCATGGCCGTATTTTCGCGAGAGTCGATCGTAGTCTTGGACAGCAACACATCTTATGTGTCCGCCATTCCGCCCAGTGGCACCAGAACAGATGCCTCGAGCATCGAGAACAGTGATGGAGATTTCATCGTCTTCTTTTAGTAGCCACTGCGCAACGCTGCATCCTGTGATGCCAGAACCAAGAATGACCACATCTCTTGTTTCAGGTAGGGCCTCTGATTGTGCAGCTTCCACGTGGGGATGAGAGGAGGATTGCCAGAAGGATGTGGTCGGATTGGGGGCCGGTAAACCGGGGTCCGCCATCAGCCGTTGAAGTTTGTGGCCTGTACAACATTAGTTCTAATAATGACGACTGTATGAGATTTTAGCCAATCCTTGGACCTATCATTGTATATCACAGAGTCTGTTCACAGACTTTGCTCACAGAGTTTCAGCTTAGATTTGACAGTAACACTACTGAATATACCTGGAAGAGCTTACGGTAGATCATATAGCTATCTAAATCGTTCCTGCATTTCTGAGTAAGGCCGCACTAAACACGCGGATACACAAACTCATGGAGGCTACCGCGATAATTTTCCTAGATCGGCCAAATATTGGTTGGAGGCGATGCGGGGGAAGACGTTATTAGCCGATCTACTCCGTAGCAGAAGTGGCAAGATACCACTTCCGCCATTATCCAATAGATAAGCACGTCTCCAAAACTCATCGCCATGATTTGCCCAAGTAAGACTAGTATCGTTGTGGAGACCCTCTCCGCATAACAAGGGCTACTCCAAGGATGTTGCCGAGAACAAGAAAAATTGGCTCGTGAAGCAAACGCTGACACGCTAATCTTCATCATCTCGACAGAATGCGGGGAGATCGGTATAATCAAGAGGAACCTTACTCTCGGTAACGGCGGAAATCTTAGCAATGGCTGAAGCTGGTGGATATTGCGTTTATCAGAAGCGTTGATCTGCTATCGAATAGAACAAGATTTGGAGATAGTAATCGCCATAATATTCCTAAATTAGACTAATGCATCTGTGGATACTCGATACTGCAAGACTAGGGAACTGGATCCGGGGTATAAGCACAGTCAGTCCCATAAAAACCATCCTGATACCTCCTGTTGCATGCAACATGCAAGCATGTCGACAGCCAACAACCACTGCAACTGATCCAGGGATAAGCAGGATCAGGATCTCTTATATTTAATTGAGCCCCTGCATCCCGAATCGTAACTTAGTCGCTATTGTTCCCTAGACTCAGAAATAATACCTACCCTACATCGTGCTCGAAAAGAGCCTGGCGTACAGCTTCACGATGGCCTCCGAGAAGAGGGACTCAATGACTATTAGTCAGAGCCATGATTCACCAAGCGAAATTGCTCCAAAAGCTCTGTCTAATGATGAATATCAACTGGCACAGCTGGGGTACAAACAAGGTATCCGTCTTCTCATGATGATCTGCTTTTGGAAACCTTCTAACATTCCGAAGAATTCTTCCGCACCCTGGGGCTGTTTGAGAACTGGGCAGCGACATTCACCGTTCGTCGCCTTAACCTCTACCTAAGCGAGATAAATTCTAACAGCAAGGCAGACTATGAACTTTATCTCTGGCATTCCAATGATGTTTGCCTTTGTGATGTCCACTGGTGGTCCTGAAGCGGCGTTTGCAAACTGGACAATGGTTGGGGGCTTCTCATTCATTGTGTCACTAGCTATGGCTGAGATTGCCTCCGCCCTTCCTGTCGCTGGTGGTATCTACTACTGGAGTTTTTATCTCGGTGGCAAGAAATGGGGGCCGCTTTTGAGTTGGATGACTGCTGTAAGACCCCATCCCCTTCCAAACTCACACATTCAAAGCTGACCATGTTCTTTCGTGGAGTGGTGGAATTGGGCAGGCTGGATAACTGTTCCTTGCGGTGTTCAACAAGGCGCAACAAACTTTCTCATATCTGCTCTCGAAATACAATATCCCAACGCAGAAGTTTTGACGAAAGGATGGTTTTCTTGGATACTAACTTCGGTGGGCATTCTGATCGCTATGCTTCCAAATATCATTAGCCCACGAGTCTTGTAAGTTCTGGGTGAGCCCTTAGACCAGCATGACTTACTAAGTTTGTATAGGCAACTCTACTTCCGTTTTGCCATTCTAATATTCTTTTCTCTTTTCTTTGCGTACTGGATATGGTTTCCAACAAAGGCAAGCTTCGAGCATCTTCTTTTAATATACTTCTACTGACAATTTGCATCTAGGCCAGCGGAAATTTCCAACCATCGTCCGGGGTGTTTCAACATTTTTTTAACAACATCAATGAGGGTGACAAAAAGCAAGCTTCGGATGGATACTGCTGGGTTATCTCGACACTTTTCGTAAGTTTTTACCCATAGAGCTTGGCATTCTAACTGTTACTGATGTGGATTTTGTGAAGGGAGCGTGGATATTCTTTGGGTATGTTCTCACACCCCGGCGCCTTTGCATCACAAATTATCATGTTGTTTTCTAATAATGCATTACAGTTATGATGCGTCTGCACATTTAGCGGAGGAGACAAAAGAGGCTTCGGCAGTCGTGGCAAAGGGAATGTGGATGGCAACACTATCTGGTTGGCTTCTCTCTATCCCAACCTTGATCCTTATTCTCTTCTGCATCCAAGACTTTGATGGCATCATTGCCGGTATGTTTATTATTTTCTTCTTCAAGGACTATCCACTAACTTTGAGCTCAGCAACGTACGCGAACAACTGGGCTGAATATCTTATGCAGCTCATCGGCCCTGCAGGTTCCACGGCTATCCTTGTGCTATTGTGGATCGACAGCACCTGCGCAACGGCATCGGCCTTTATGTCTGCACAGGTACCATCAATCTTTTACATTTGACTGTGGCTTCAACTAATTTCTTCCAGCGCGTAACATATGCCATATCTCGTGACAATGTCTTACCTTTCTCACGATACTTTCGGAAACTAACCTCTACCCACCGAATGCCCCTCCATGCTGCCTTCCTTGTCGCCGCCATCTCTATTGCCATCTCTACCGCTGTCATTGGTTCGTCTGTTGCATTCTCTGCTATTACGGCTATGTCGACTATTGCCACCAACGTCAGCTACCTCTTCCCTATCATAGCCCGCCAAACCGTTGGAGCTGCGGTTTTTGTACCGGCCAAATGGAATTTGGGCCGGGCTAGCGCAGTTATTGCTACAATCTCCAGTGTTTGGATTTGCTATCTCTTTGTTGTTCTATTGTTGCCGCAGGTGTATCCTGTTACTGGAGTGAGCTTCTCCTTCCCCCCGTGTGTCCAATGTAACTGACAAAATTTCGAAGACGACATTGAACTATGCACCGGTTATGATTGGAGCTATCACTTTAATTTCCTTGGTGGGCTGGATATTCCCATTCGGACTTGGTGGGAAATATTGGTTCAAAGGCCCACAGACGACCATCACGGATGTAGATGTGCTGGAGGCCACGATACCAGAAATGAGCTAAAATTTGACTTTGTATTACAGATAGTGTGCAAACATATGTCGTGTTATGTCTTAATAAATCCCTTTTTTGCATTATTTGGCATCATGCATCAAATAATCAGTGGTTTCTAATGAGATGGTGATTATAACTTCTTGAAACCCTACCCAAACATAGTCTCACACTCCATTTCGCGAATAAGATCAATCCAAAAAACTTCTTCTCCCATATCAAGACGTCGATACATCTCCTTGATGACTTGTAACATTAGATCAACTGGCCGTGAATGAACTAGTGACCGGAGGGATGCCAGCCGGGAAATTGTGAAGTCTCGTAAATCCATGACATGATCATGCTCTAAAGCCGAACCTGCTTCGAGAGATGGTACATAATCATCATGCTGAATGGGCCCTTGAATGAAGGGAGATGGTATAGCCAGCGACCCGGCGGCGACAAATATTAAAATAGCTTGAACAGACCTTGTGCCAGATGTAATCGGAATCTGTTGTAGGCGATCAAGTACGCTAAACCCGAGAGAGCGTAGAAACATGTCATTTGAGGCGGCATTGGACAGCGAGTTCCACCATTCGGCTATCGGATTGTTCTTGGGTCCTAACGGAGGGCAGCCAGCAGATGATATGCACTGTTGACGGTGCCGTAGAATGCCGGAAAACTTGCGATATATTTGATATAGGCTACCAAAGAGGTATGCCTCCGCGAGAAGAACGTGGTGGTGTGATGGCGTGTTAGGATCTCCCGAATCATCGATCTCCGCGATGTCTGGCAATGCAACAGACCAGAGAGCTTCTTCTAGTTTCGTAGCGTCTTGGCTGAGTTTCTTGTGTTCGAGTAGGCCAGCATCAGAGCGATCATCAACCAGCCTCAAGGACCGGATAACCTTTGTGACTCGACTGAAGATAGCTTGGATAGGTGATGACACCCCAGTCCATGGGTGTGGAGTTATACGAGGATTGGTGGACTCTCTTGCTTCTATGGTTGCCATATTGGGACTTTCTTCCGCCGTGACAGCCTCTATGTCGGAACTGAACTCTACTTCATCACTGACTATACTAATAGCCATTTCCCAATAGATGAGAGCAGACTTGAAGAAGTTGGCCATTGATTGATTGTTCCCTCTCGCGGATATTGCATTTGATGAGATGGCTCGCTGGGCAGCATGGAAGTGAGCGATGCCGATATCCTTCCCATCGTGCCATGCTGTACTCAATCCTATGAGGAATATTGCGAATAGGGTGTCTTCGCGGACTTTGTTCGTTTGTTTTAGACTCTCTGCGATGCATCTCAAGGCCTGACTCTGGTATTGAAGAGCGATAACCTTCAGTTGTGGCTTCTCGTCCGCTAGTCTTGCCGCAGAACCGCTCAGCATTGCATTGAATACAGGCGCAGAGTACGAGAAGACTTGGGAAACATATGACCGAAACGGATTAAGTTCTGAGTCAAAACTGGAGAAAACCGAACAGACGTTCTTGAAATAATATGTTGCCAAATCTGCTGGAAGGTGGCTAATGGCCGGCGGAATAGAAGTCTTCTTCCATGGGACAACTGAAGAAGTATCTAGCCACTGGTAATTGTCCTGGTATTGCATCACGCCCGACAATGATGGAGCAGTGCCTGCAAAGTCCACGGAGCCCACGGAGCTATTCTTGTCCAACAAATAGGCCGGGCCATGACTATTCGGGAGCTTGTAAGATCCGTTTGCGATCGCCGATATTGGAGTATTCTCTTCTTCGTCGGGCACAGCATTATTCTCAGTTGAGGAACACGATATTATATCTGAGCACGTTTGTCGAAGACCACTCTCAGTTGAAGGTGTGGGTTTTTGAAGCGGAGGGGAGCCTTTCGGATAAGTGGGGTGGAAGGTAAGATGACTGTTTAGTGCTGGTCTTGAGGATGTGTTGCATATGAGGCTTGGATCTGGTGCTATTAGAGTCATAGGAGAACGAGGTTGGAAGTCACGTCAAACCTTTTACGCTATTGAACACCTCGTGCTTTGTAGACCATCGTATTATCATGCCTGGATAACCCGGACATGGTAGCTTTCTTGAAACGCAGCGGCCGCAGCTGGGTTTCGCTTCATCGCATTTTACCTATGTGTGGGCCACCCTTCAACTGATGTGCTCTGGAGTTTGGAAGTGGGTCAAACTGGAAGAGTGCTCACGAACCTTGCTGGATTTACAACGGGCGCAGCCGCTAAAAGTTTTGTTGACCGGGCGTCTTTTGCCAGGTATTGGAGGTGCTTGCCGATGAATATTGGTTGCCATACTAATCTTTGAAGGATTCAATCCGTGCACATCAAGCTTAGCGATAACGGAAGAGTAATCAAGGGAGGTCACGAGATGAGTGTCAATGGATAAGGAAATATGAAGGGTTGGCTTAAAGGCGCCAGAGCAAGAGGCTAAATCTCTTGTAGAGGTACCCTATAGGCTTGAGCATATCAAAGAGGCTGTTCGTCATAGAGGTTGCTGGGCCGTGATTGTCAGTAAGCATGGAGATGAAGTAGATAGAGTTGGTTCCCTCGATGGATATCCGCCTTGTTGCAATCAAACTCTCACCCCAGCGGGATAACAGGGGAAACTGCTTCGGAACAACCTAAGACCGATGGACCAATCACAGTCAAGCAGACAAGCCTCATGTAGGGTTTTGAATCTAGCCACAACCAGCTAATAGAAATCTATACCATTCTACGGAGTAGTAGTCTATTACAATTCAAGAAGATGCAAAAGCTCACTTTGTCGCAGATATCTTTACAGTACGAAGAGCCAATTGTTACTAAAACATCAACATGAAGTTCGTATTTAAACAAATAACAAAGCATGGTGAGTTTGTTTCAGCTACACTGCATACCCTGTCCACCAATGGAGCCCTAGAACTGTCTTATACCTAGATCTATACCTAATACGAAGTACTCCGGGCGCAATTCGTCACACCGCCATCAGCCGAATCAAAGCGTTGAACCCAGAGAGGAACTAAGTTTTGCACACTGTATAAAAACTGTGGGTTATGGGTCACTTTTGCGTATTCGGTCGTATACGAGTAATAGCTTCTACTGTGGATATTTACAAGTAAAAATGTTTTGTGAAAGAGTATGACAAAGATTCTCAGGCTTCGTTCTCCTTACACCAAATGTATGTTTCCCTTTGCTATGTCGCTATTGTGAATTGTAATTTTACATTGATGCAAAAGGCAATTTAATAAGGCTACCCAGCGAGGGAAGTGGTCGTATTTTATCCGAAGTGCTTACGAACACGCGTCTCTCCTCAGCTAACCTGCAACCGTCTCAATATAACAAACATGTGCACGGAACGTGAAGAAGTGATATAGAAGGTTCTCCGCGTCAGCCCAAGTACCCAAATTTCCCCTACAAAGAGGCATCAAGCTTGAGCTGCCGTCAAATCAGCTTAAAAAGAAAGATGCGGATTTTGCTTTCTTTTTCTCTCTAAATGTACAACTGTTTAAAATACTGAGCCCTGAAGAAGTGAATTGTCCTGGATCATCATTGATGAACTTTCTTTATACGGGAGATGAAACACCTCATGGGATTGGCAATTTGCAAACGACAGTTACAAAACCACCGTGGTCCCCACAAGTCGAGAGACTCTTCATACATCGGCTAAACAATCGGGAGCTTCGACTTCGGCTCGGCGAAGAAATGGTAGAATATATTGCCGAGCCACTTTTGGGGTTCTCCAACATTTATAAGGGTTATGAAAGTTAGCCTGGACAGCATTTGAAGTATATTTCACGCTGCCCAAAACGCCAATCTCATCTGGACGGGTCAATTCACTCTACATCATTGAAGGCAGCGAACACGATCAAGCTATCTGATCCGTCTCAATGGCTCAGATGTATGCTGGTTGTAGTTGGGACATTGCGTCTACGGAGTACGCCGTCGCCGATCGGGGGCATCGCGTTTTTTTGAAGGTCCTGGCCAAATTGTACAGGCCTCATCAATCTTAGAGGACAAAGTCTACACTTGCAGTCTTTTACCAGTGCCACTCGTTGATACTAAAGATGATCTCCCAGCCACGTGTGGCTGATCATTCAAGAGCGATTTCTGTCACAACCGACATTTCGTGTTGCTTCGAAGTAGGCTTTTTCTCAGTGTGCGACGGCGGTTCTGTATGTGAGCTCTGCTATTACGGATGTCCATTCGCGGGCAATACACCTATGTATCGTTATTTCGATCGCAGAAGGAAGTATGCGGGCTACTGTCATTGGATGGGGCTTTTGACACGGTACTCATCTATAGAGCTCACCAAGCCTGGTGGTTGGCTGGTGGAGGTAGAAGGTCTAGTATATGTGATCCAAGCGACTTCAAAGGAGAGATAAGTTGTCGGAATGATGGTCGAAGGGTTCATATATATTATTGAATCATTCGTATAGACCAAGATGCAGAAAACTCGCCTTGCAAACTTGCGACTAGATACGTTCTGAGATCTTTTAGTGAATGAGAGGAGCAAGAAGCTTTATGCCGTTGCTTTAGCATCAGGGAAAACATATGTATGTATCATCCGAGATTTTTCGAAAGGCATCTTTTGTTATCTAAGCTTAATTAAGCTTAATTGCAAACTTCTACTAACTAAGAATCAGCACATTACCAAGATGGACGCAAGTCAATGGTTCAAATGAAATACAATAAACGTCTACTTATATTGTCACTCAATTTTCTACTATATCCGAGCTCGTACAAATTGCTAGATATAGTAAGTAATATCAGAGCCGCCCGAAGTTATATACAAAGGGGGGTTATCCCCACTACTCCTTTCTCCAAGACGATGGATTTCCGATGTCCATGAAAATTTATTTGTAATACGACTATCCATAGGAGAGTTAATTAGTCAACACCTCACTAATATAGATGAAAGATGTAGAGGGCAGGGGGGAAGCCAGTATAGTAAAGATGATACAATTGTAATGACATAGGCCAATGGCTACTATGACTAAGGTCAGATTGTAGATGATTTGTTACAGTTATGCCCGTGCCATACTTGATCAGCCGCAGCACCTCCCACTGCCTGGCTCCATCAATACGAGTTTGTATCAGCTGTATAAAATACTGCAACTTGTTGTCAAATGGGTCTCTTTCAAATAAACTATTCCATAAAAAGGGAAGCTAGCCTTAGAGAGGCTATATTGGTGTTTTCATTACGGAGCACATAGCTTTCTTGCGTATCGCATTGGCATTAGCGCCATCTAGTAGCCCTATGCAAACAGAGTACGCGTCATCTCCTCCATGGAATATTTTTTCTTGCTAAAAATAGTATTGTAATTGATTGGGGAGTTCTTGTTTGTTGAAGTAATAGTTCCATAACAAACAAATTCGTTATACTTCTTATTACTTGCCTTTGAATTCCCGCCCCCTTTTCGTCATCTCAGCTCTTACAAGAGCCAGTTTGATACAGTGTTTTCTGTCATCATGTTGCTATCTTCCAGGAGAATTGCAGTTGCTCTGTGTACTGTTGCTATCTTCATCACTCTTACAATGTACAAAGTCGTTCAGAAGGACTCTGTCTCTAATTCCCTCAGCTTCCTCCACTCGAGTTTATCCCTCAACCACTCGAGTTTACCAACAGAGAAAGGGAGTCCGCGGTTCGCATATGCACAATACGCTACTGATATAAACTACCTATGCAACACTGTACGGTGAAATCTGTTTTAAGACACAATCGGTACTGTTCTTTAATGAGGCTCATTGTAGATTATCAACTTCAACCGCCTGAAGCGTTCCGGTACCAAACATGATATGGTACTGATATTCCCAAAGGAATGGGACCATGAGGTGAGTCACCTTATGTTAGTCACAAGACCTGCCTGCTAACTAGTGACTCCAGAGTACCAATACGCGTGAGGCTCAGGCCATCAAGAATCTTCGAGCCAGCGATCTTAATATCGTTTTCCGTCCTTTTGACATTCTCTCTACAGACAAGGGAGACTCGACCTGGCACGACAGCCTTACCAAATTCCACGCTTTTGCCTTGATCGAATACACGAGAATTCTGGCCTTCGACTCAGACTCGCTCGTGCTGAATAACATGGACTTCTTATTTCTTGCGCCAGACTCACCGGTGGCTATGCCCCGCGCATACTGGCTAACCGATCGTGAGCATGCAAAGCAGATCCTAGGGTCGCACATTATACTCATCGAGCCTAATACACATCGATACAAAAGAATAATCAACGAGGCTATGCGAAGTGGGGAGTTTGACATGGACGTTTTGAATGAATTATTTAAAGACTCAGCCATGATCCTCCCTCATCGACGCCTTGCGTTGTTAACTGGTGAGTTCCGAGCCAAGGATCACTCTAAATATCTTGCCCCAGATGAGGAGGAGGAATGGAACGCCATGGTGGAGGCAAGTAGGGCATATCTTGTGCATTTCAGCGACTGGCCCCTGCCAAAGCCATGGAAATCCCATACCGAGGCTCAATGGGAGGCGGCCTTGCCGGAGTGTCCAGATGACGATATTAAGAAGCCAGACCAGTCAAGGTGTGCCGACAGGTTGGTGTGGACCAGATTTTATACTGACTATGACAACGATAAGAGAGTTTACTGTGGGTTAAACAGTATATAATTCGTTATAATTAAGAAGCGAGTGCATATTAGCGTTGTGTAAGGCTAACAATGATATAGAGAAGTATGTTTAGTCTTTCCTGTTTTGGACTTACGGATGTAACACCAATGTATACTTCAAATGTAATACTTATATAGCTTAAATTGGATTTTAATTTAAATAGGTACGAATGGTAACGAGATTACTAGTAACCAATATATACGTAATTCACTGAAGAGCGAATTACAACGCATTTGCATTAATTTACAATGTGGAGCAATTGTAACTGTATTGTATACTTCACTCTTCACCTATTGGTATTAATTATCGCATTTTGTAATTTATGCCCCTTCTCTGTTAACTACCTATGTTACGTCTCTATCTACTCGTCTTCATCAACATCAATCTGGGTCTCTTTCCATTTCCGAGCCGGAACTTTACGTTTGAATAGGATGTCAATCTCACGGTAGGACCGATGCTTCATCTCTGGCAAGAAGAAGTATGCCAGAACGTAGCAGACTAAACCCGTAGAAGCCCAGACGTAACCGCATCTGCCAGCGAGGTTTCCACCCTGCAACATATCTAGGTTAGTAACTGGAAAGATACGAGTGAACGGAGATCATACCGTTGGGTTAAGCATCCAGCTTGCTAAGAAGATGCAAGGAAATTCGACGATATAGTACGCAGCGCGGCCCACTCCAGTTGTCAGAGGCCTAAGGCGGATGGCCGAAGTCTCACCAATAATAACCCAGGAAGCAGGAGCAGGTCCCAATGTAAAGAGCACAGAGATAATAAGACCCAGCGAAGCTTGTGCTAGAGAGCTCGCATTACTCTTTCCAACAGACCCGGCAACACCAAGGGCGATGAGGAAAATGACATTAATAGCTGAACCCCAGAGATAAATAGTACGTCGGCCAAGGTACGTGGTGAGAATCCAAGAAAGCATAACAAAGATCATCTGCAAGGCTGAAGTGATAAGACCCATAGCAAAGGCGGTTTTGTTACTCATACCAGCCTCTACAAGTAGGTTAGCATACATGACATTGTGATAATAATGATAATAACTCACGCTCGAAAAAATATACGGCCTGGTTGGCGATGAGGTTACCCGTGAGGTTCTGGGCTGCGTACACACCGCACACAATAAGAGTACGATAAAGGTCAGTGCCTTTAAAGAGCTCAATGTAGCTGGGTGGCTTAGAGGTGGCCTCAAGCTCAACAACACGGCGCATCATAGCGACGGTCTCACCTGTGTTAAGCCTGGACCTCCGTCCAAGGCGCCCAACAGCGTGCTCTGCTTCTTGCAGACGTCCCTTTCTGACCAGCCACCACGGCGACTCAGGAGCTAGGAATATTAGGATGGCAAGCGGGGTGGGAAACATCCATTGAAGGGCAATGGGGAGCCTTTAAATGTGTCGCTTTGTGTTAGCCGTTGTGCATGCTTGTAAACGAGATCTTGAGCAACCGTACTTATAGGAAAGAGCTCCATCAACACCCTGGTAACTGTAGGTGACAGCACCAACAATGATACTGCCGATAGCCCAGAACATCTGCAGCATCTGAGTACAGGGGGCTCGCAGCGGGATAGGCACAATCTCGCTGCAGTATGCCGGAGCATTGGCAATAAAGATGCCCCATGGGATGCCCTCGAGAATTTGGGCCGCGAAGATCACGGGCATTGATTCGGCGTAGTAAAAGGCGAAGATGAAGACGTTCAAGAGCATCAGACCAGTTAGGGTTGCGTAGCGGTATCCGAGCCAGCTTGTAAGGTAGCCCGCGAGACATACGCCAATAAGGGCGCCGAGCTGTCCAGACACTGAAAGTGCAGACTGCCACTTGGTGACGATGACATTGTTTTCTGGGATATCATCGACGGGCTGGCCGTACTTTGCTCTGAATGCACCTAGAGCGAGGAAGTTGTTGCAGAGAAAGACATCGTACGACTCCATGATCTGTGAGAATAGTGTAGTCAGCACACATGTAGCTTTGAATCGCGATCCTGAGGGAAATCCTCGATATCGAGCAAGAGGGTATATAGTTGTATCAAGGCAAAAACCTTACAATAGTGAAAGACATAACAAACGCCCAAAAGGAAGCCATGGGATACGCGCGAACGGCCTCGAGAACCGTCATATTATGCTCCGCGTTCTCCGCCTCGATGGCACCCGCCTTATAATCGGCGACTTTCGCATTTTCGTCGAATTGAGCGTCCGCCTTCTCGTCAATGTGGCCCCCGCCAGCATTCTCTACCTGCACCTCCTTCTCCGTGTCCAAAGCGCCATCATGCGCCTTGGATTCCGCCGGTTTAGGCTCGACGGGATCACTCATGTTAGGCTGGTACTTGCTGCTGTTATTTCCGGGTGAATAGCATGTAGAGAACAGAGAAGAAGAGAAACAGAGCAAGGATAGAGAAGCAGAACAGAAGAAAATCCACCGCCAGCTCCCAGCTTTTATTTATGCCATCGTGTTATTCTTATTGTAGTTCTACTCGACATCGGTAAGGGGGGGGAAGACGGTCCGAGCGCATATTTAGCGGGTTAAGTTACACCGAGTGGCGTCTCCCAATCTAGTAAATGAGGAATGATGAGCGTGGGGAAACGGACACTTTGCAGTAGTCGTGGGGAGGGAAATACAAGGACTGTCATTTTCCGACCCAATAAGCGCCAAAGGCTGGTACTCGACAACTGCAGTAGTAGATCAGCCTAGGCCAGCTTGTTTTGCGCCCCAATGAACAGCCTGCGTCGTAATAGCCGATAGCCACACCACTGGATGCAAGCTTATTGTCCTAGAAGCGAGCCAATGCCGAGCCAAGCTACGCTGACCCCCCTGGCCCGCGAAGGAACAGACTCAACAGAACGATCTGGAAGCTAACCCCGCATTGTGCTAATGTTCCGATATCCGTTGCTCGTGAGCTCTCCAATGTCAAGTGATACGTGCTGGTTGATCCAATACTGGACGTACGCAGCTTTAGTTCGCCGAAGAGCACGTTTCTGTTATTCGTAGAGCACCAGATTGAGCTACTATGGGATAAAGAGCGAGTAATTGCAGACGGACTTGGGAGCGGTGAAGCTCATCAATCATCCATGAAGATGACGGCATGAACGAGAGCCGCGATCCTTACGAGTCATTAGTTTGCAGTCTGGGGAGCTGAATGGATTGCTACCAAACTTCCAGTATAAAGTGATTCGGTGGTTTGACGCTTCTTGATCGCCTCTATGACCTACATTCGAATAGGCCACTGGCAACGCACACGCAAAGCATCATCTATTAGAGCACCATTTGTGCGTGTTGCCCATTGGCTCGCTAGTTACTAGAATTAGCCGGTCAACTTTTACTTAGTGTTCTTTATACTCCAAAATTAAAAGCTAGGCCGCTACTTTTTGTACGTCATATGCCTTCATGTGCTGCGAATCCTTAGGTCGCAAAGCAGTCGCAGACTATAGACACCTGAGTTGTATCTAAATTGCCTGATTTTGAAGTGCTTTTGCTGGAGGATTTGTCAATCTAGACCAAAATATACGGGAATGTGCTAACTGAAATCGCGGTCTCAAGACTGATCGGAAATGGCCTAGAGTTAAGGTATGGAGGTATCGGGCGATCACTGCTATACCTACTTGGGTACATATAATATTCAACATAAGAAGCTGGCGAAGCAGTAGCCCCGCGGTATGGAGTATACCGCAGTAGGCACGCAATTCCCCTAGTAAACAGAATACCAATAAGAGGGACTCCGTACATGTAGAGACACGTATAATGAGGTAAAACTAATAGGACACGTCTACTGGGGCCGTAGCGTTATAAGCTTTGTTGCATTAAAACCGGGGGCGCATAAGCTATCAGGTACATAGTAAAAACCCGACCGATTATTCGGGTTATTACTAATCTTAGTGATAAGATAAGTCCTGAGCAACTTGTATATCTGCTTGTAGGTTAACCCTGCACATGTAGTCATCGCTGGTCTTCGCCCAAGTCAAATCGAAGTTAGTGCACAAAGCGGCTGCGTTAATTGATGCATCTTGACTATAAACTTTCAGGGTTGGCCCAAATGCCTGCTCTCTAAATAAACGGCAGGATTAACTGGGAATCGTATTTCCCACCACTGTAGATTGTATGATTACCAATATTTTCGTTGTTATCATATGCCGGCTTTATCCTGTCCGTATCAGGATAGCACATATCATACCCTGCCACACGCAGCATAATACCCTCACCCGGCGCAAATACCATACCCATCGGCCACAGAGTAATTTCCAAATCCACGATTTTACCCATAGGAACAGGTTCCCGCCTATCATGTTTATAGACTACCTCTTGGTCTGTTGATAGCTCCATATCCTTAGTAACTCGGTGTGAAGCGCGAAGGAAACCTTGAGGGCCAAGGCACTTTGCGATGTTGTCATTTCTAACTTCAGAGACTGGTACAGGACAGGGGTAGTTGAGATGTTCGAGTAATCTGCCGTCTGTTGAGATCTTGCGGATCTGAACTGCGACGTCAAGGTCGTCGTGCTCCTTGCATGATATCCAGAGCTTGACCTTTGCATAACCAGCAATTTCTGTCTGTTGCTGAAAATGAATGGTAAAATTCTATCCGGAGTTAGTAATTTAGATCCAGTATGACAATGACTTGGACAGAAAAGATAGAACGGAATCTAAGAATTACTTACCGAGCTATCCGTGAGACCTTCGGCAAGGTGCGTGGTTGACCCCTCTATGGCTGGCTTCTCCCATACGAGCTGCTTCAATGTGGAATCAAGGTATAATGTCTTGAGCTGCTGTCGAGCCAAGGGCCACTCCTGCTCTGGCCGTTCCTCGATGGACTTAGTGAGACTACCATCTGCTTCGAATCCAAGAAGAGATAAGCGAACAGGAGGAGTATCCGTTTCCCAACCATTTTGGATACCTTTCAGGAATCGGTCGTAGAACCTTTTGAGATCTGCATTTGCTTCTGGCCGATATAAGTCATACCATTCCTGATAACGATGGACTCGAAGCCACTTTTTTGATGTCTTCGCCGTGCGGAAAGTATGGAAAGATCCACGAGTATGGAGTTGGGAGGAGAAAGAGGCCAGCAGGTACATTGGAACGTTGATGTTCTCTGTATGTATGTACTTGCTTTCCCAGTAATCGTCGAAAAAGGGCCGTTTAGTGAACATCTCTGGCATATTCTCCACTGAATTTGCACCAGCAAAGCCCGACAAGAGAAACCTGTGTAGGCCAGGGTTATGTCTTCTTCCCCCTCTACCGAGAGTATCTCGATATACGTCGTGTCGACCCTCCCAAGGGGCCAGCGCCTTCAGTGCTGGATGCTCATGACGCGACGCGAAATTGATCTGCGAGATAGCTAACCACGAGTTGCCAGCCATTCCAACCGAACCGCTGCACCACGACTGCTTAGAAATATAGTCGATGGTATCATAAACATCTTCAGCTTCCTGCGGGCCGTAGAAGACCACGTCGCCTTCAGACTTCCCTGCACCTCGGGCATCAACATTGATTATGGCATATCCATACTGCATCCAAGTCGCAGGGTCAGGGCCCTCAAACTTTTCATATCCGGACGTATCCTCAAGCTTAAGGCCAATACGATTGGGTCCCATGATGTCGTAGTTGGGTACACCAGTACCCGTCTTGCCATATGGGCTAAACGCGAGGATAGCAGGGACTTTCTCATCCACGTCCGTATTTGCCGGGCGGAAGATGTCAACGTAAATCTTAATACCATCGCGCATAGGCACAGCCACGTCCCTTTCCATAATGGTGTCAACGGAGAACGGGAGTCGGCTAGGCCAACGAGTATGACCCTTTTCTAGCAGGACTTTTTTGTTGGGCTCAAAACCATGCCAAGTGTAGGCAGGGTGTTCCTCTGGAGAAGGCAATTTCTTCCACAGCAGATCAGGGAACTGCTCACGAAGGTTTTCGGAAGTTGTGGCCATGATGGCTATTTTAATAATAACAACAGAAGTGATAAAAAGCTTGATTGATATGGATAGGAAGGTAAATGATGCTGGTTGTGAATGGTTGAGATGGAACAGCATGTTACAATTTATACAATAACTGAATGGCTACTTATTAGCCAGAGGCTGACTCCAAAGCCGCGCTGAAACTTCGGGGTTCATCATTAGAAGTCACTAATGACATACCTATACGATCTTGTGCCTTGCGACTTTCCACCGCAAGAGGAGTGGCTCTATGGGAGGCCAAATCCGGACAGCGGATAATGCAAGCCACATAATTGATCCGCGATGAAATTGCACCGCGGCGCGCAGACTCTGATGCGAATTGTAGCGCAATTCCATATATTTTAATGTTGAGTATACAACTAAGCCATCAGCGTTTAATACACCGGCGCGCGTACACTTTGATGCGAATTGTCGCGTAGTTCCACGCTTGAGCAATCAAGGGTTAATATTATTGCTTTCCACGCAATCTAGACTAGATCTTCTGGTAAGAAACAGTCTCTGCGTGTAGAGCCGTATAATTGTTCTAGTATTACCTGTACGGGAAAATTGCTTTTTTATTGATAGAATTCAAATTGTGAGTAATAACTTGACGTTATACAGCTACATTTTGCTCATTGCATGTTGTCTCTCGTTCTCGAAGCAGAGATAATGGTTGATTTCCATCAGCCAGCAATAATGTATCAATGCACGAAGTCGTGCGTGCGCCAGTTGTTTTGTAAATACCCCGCGACATCCCCGCGATGCCCCGGAATGCCCCGCCATACCCCATATTGACAGCAGCCGTGGCGTGGCGTGTTCTGGTTTATTTGAGAAGTATCAAAATCGTCCGAAAAGATGTCGAACATGATATCGTGACTATAGCATATAAGAAGGTGATAACGTCCACCTTGAAAGCAGAATCTACCGTAGCAATCACTTGGCTTTACAATCCACATCATCTATCTAGGTTTATCTCAGTGCGAGTTTCACTTTTACTTCTCCTGTCTTAACCAAATCTTCAAATGGAGAACAATAGCTCTTATTTTTCACCAGAGAAGAGACCTTCAAACTGGGTCCCTCTCTTGAATGAGCCCTCGAGACAGGAACGTAAACTTCGCGTTGTATGCATCGGTGGCGGTTGGTCTGGAATAACCTTGGCTCACAAGCTCACGCACGAACTAAAATGGAATCACTTCATTGATCTCCAGATTTACGAGAAAAATCCTGATCTTGGCGGTACATGGTATGAGAATCGGTACCCTGGAGCGGCTTGGTGAGTAGCTCAATCTAGCATATATGACAACGGAGCTGACTCTGATCTTAGTGATGTTCCTGCACGTACGTTCTTTCCATATTCCTTTTGATCGATAATGAAGCTTATGGCGAGTTTATTAGACATTTACGTTTTCCCGTTTGAACCCAACCCCGATTGGACCACCTTTTACGCCAACAGCCCTGAAATCTGGCAGTATATGAAAGACACTGCTAAGAAATGGGATCTTGAGCGCCACATGCTGTTCAATTCTAAAGTTATCGATTCTATTTGGGATGAGAGTAGTGGCAAATGGCGATTGAAGATTGACCATCAAGGCCAAGTCATCCAGGATGAATGTGACATTCTGGTGAATGCAACTGGCTTCCTTCAGTAAGTCACATTTACATCTTTACAGGTATTACAAGACAGCCCTCATTCTAATAACCATTAGCAAGTGGTCTTGGCCCAATATTGAAGGTCTACACAACTTCAAGGGTAAACTTGTTCATACAGCGGCTTGGTAAGCAGCGCGAATTTGCAACATAGCAGATTTGGGATGTAGTATTGACGAGTGTTTCAGGGACCAATCGCTGGATTGGACCGGTCAACGAATGGCCCTCATTGGTAACGGATCTTCCGCTATTCAAGTTTTGCCACAAGTCCAGAAGATCTCCAAAAAGGTCACAACATACGTCCGCAGCCCTACCTGGATTGCGGCGAATTTCCTCAATCAGTTTTCTGAAGATGGTAGCAAAGTTTTCACTGAAGACCAGAGAAAGGAGTTTAGAGAGAATCCAGAGAAGTTATTCCAACTGCGCAAGAAGTTGGAGCATGGGTATGCACATGATCCTCCAAGATGGTTTTCTTCACCCATTAACACTTATGGGAATAGGTTTAACGAGCTTTTCAAGGCTATGGTTATTGGTAGACCCGAGCAACAGGAGCTTGATCGTGAGCATAATGAGATTATGCGCCAGCGCCTTCGCCAAAACCCCGAGTTGATTGATCGGTTGATCCCTAGATTCACCGCGGGATGCCGCCGCCTGACACCAGGTGATGGTTATCTGGAAGCTCTGCAAGAAGACAATGTCAAGACCATTTGGAGTCCCATAATCAGAGTAACGGAGAAAGGCATTCTGACAGCTGAAGGCGAAGAAGAATTCGACATCATTGTTACTGCTACTGGCTTTGATGTGAGTTACAAGCCCAACTGGAACCTTGTGGGACGCAATGGCGCTACGCTAAGTAAACTCTGGGCAAACGATCCTCTGAGCTATCTTGGGATTGCCGCTCCAGAGCACCCTAATTACTTCATTTTCGCGGGCCCTAACACTCCGGTTGCACATGGCGTATTCCCTGGCTCTTGTGATGCTATGGCTACTTATATCTTGAAGTGGTGTCGCAAGATCGCGTCAGAGGACATAAAGTAAGTTTCAAGGTCTCCCGTGTGGACTTACAAGGAATCGGGGTTACTGATAGTATATAAATAGATCTGTGTGTGTGTTACCTGAGGTGGTAGACGACCTAGACGTGTGGTCACAAGAGATGTTGTCTCAAACTGTATGGGCTGCTCCATGCCGTAGCTGGTATAAAAATGGAAGAACCGACGGCCGCATTACTGCTCTACATGCTGGCAGTGTTATCCACTACAGAGGTTGGATACAACCCCTTCAAAATATTTCCTTGTTAATCTGAGAGCTAACCAGTTTTATTAGAGCTTCTTGAGGAGATCCGAGGTGAAGATTTCCAGATCAAATATCGTTCGCCAAATAGATTCCGCTTCCTTGGAAACGGATTTACGAAGAAGGATATGAATGGCGATGATCTCGGCTACTATCTTCAAGGTCCTGCCGCCATAAGTAAATAGGGATTTTCAGCAATAAGTAGCAATGTGTTTTAATCTTAGGCCTTATCTGATATTGAAAGCCTACATGTATTTATATAGTTAGTTCTGGTTTCACCACATCAAGTCCAATTGAGTTGATAGATGATGGCTCTATAATGTCTCCTCGCTTGTTCAAGATGTGCCCACAAACCAACAGTTCACATGATGAAATGTCGACCAGGGTTAGTAGCAGATTCCGAAGGACTGTGGCGGCAAATACTACGCAGTTTCTGTTAGAGGGCAGGCTCGCAACTCCACCAACTGGCATCACAATGTTCCGCGTGCATTTAGTAGTGTCTTTTTGAAGAGCGGCTTCGTATAAAGTGGCTTGTTGAAAAGAATACACAATATCGAGTATAAAGCTATTATGTTTCAGCATTTCAAACGTGATTCTCCAGATTTCATCACCATTAACGTAGCATTCGTTACTCCTAGGAGCGCCTAATGGCATCTTGTGAGCATTAGTTGAATTGAAATATCTATTTGTTGCTAATAAAGTAAATTTATGTGTATTTATGAATCGTATGTGTCATAGGGGAAAAACTGTTCAATACCAGCAAAAAAGTCCATATAGTCTATGGAAACATGTGGTTCGATGCTACCATCAAGAAGCGGCATCAAGGACAGTACATTCGAATTCATTGAAGGGTCTGTTAGGGAATCGGAGACATTCGACGGATCAGTAACGGGCGCTTCTTGGTGGGGGGCCATCATTCCCGATGTCATGAACCCAGCCAAATCTATGGGGCTTCTATCATTGCCTTGTCTCGCGGCTAAGCCTTTCAACAAGGCCTCGACTCTAGTCAACCTACGCTTCAGAATATCCATGCCGCACCAGAAAATGATAGATCGATCCATGTTGAGGCAGAGGAGCTCGTAATTCGATTCCGCCAGTTGCTTGTTGAAGGACAAAGGCCCAAAGATACGGCAGGCAATTTGTGCCGCAGCGGCAATCCATAGCGTGTTGATCATGAAGGGATTGACATATTTGTAGTGCTCACCAGAGCTATTACGTACCATGGTGATAACATCCTCGGCGGCCTTCATATAGTTCGACCACAATGGATGATTAGAAATCTTGTTTTCGTTTCCACTTTTCAGATTATTTGCATCAAATTCGGCCATCCAAGGCGCCTCAGCAACGATCTGATGGTGATAGATCATGAACTGGACAAGTTGCGTCATGATGTGAATGCAGTATATGTCGTTGTGAAACTGGCGACAACTGATATCTTGTGGAGACCTTCTAGTCAAGAAATCTAGAGCCTGCCCGTGATAAGTAAGGTCAGAGGGAAGAGAGTTAGTCGTGCAGTAAAGACAGTTGGCTAGAATGGTCACATCGGCCATATTTGTCGTTGAATCGGTATTGAGTTTGTAATCCGATAGAAGCAACTGACAATTGTACACAAAGGAGTTGATGACGATGTACCAAGCTTTAGGGCTAAGATTGCCTGACTCCTGCAGATGTTTCCAGCGGAGAATTGGATCCACAGCAAGGTAGCAACTTTTTTGAGGGCTATCACTGAACCAGCAGTTGTCGGAAACTGGCAGAAATGTGAAGTTATAGCTCCAGTTGATAGCCATCGGCAGGCGCCTAATGGCACTGGCAAGGACATCCATCTCCCAGATGGCCCACCAAGCTCTTCTTTTCTCTTCAAGAATGGACCAGTGCTCCGTATCGATGCTGTAATTATCCGTATCTGCCTGTTGATTGGACGGAAAATCCACTCGGTGGAGGTCCAGCTCGTATGCTAGTCGGATGCAAACCCCCAGATGTCTCCATGATTTTGACCGGACGCTCTGTGTCAATTGGTAAAAGGTTAAGAGAATATAGGCCTGAAGGAGCCATAGTGGAGCCACTGCATCGTCAAGTTGTTCAAGAGCTTCATTCAAGCGTTTTGAAGCGATGCAAGCGAAATGAGAATGTGGGGGGCATTCGGTAGGGCGGGATGGTGTATTGAAGAAGGAATGAAATCTCGCAGCGAAGGCGAATATCGCGGCTACTAAAGCTTCAGCTTCGGTTGCAGATTGCATGCGAGAGAGCTTCTCCTCGATTTTATACGGCTTGAAAAGCGTAAAGGTTGTCATGTTGTTGAAATATGATTCCATCCTGTTGCCATTTGTTAACACGGTAGGATCTATGGTTGGAAGCGCCCTCAATAACCAGGACATGCTTAGAAATGTTCTACGTAACATTATTTGAGATTAGAATGAGGCTTACAGATAGTGGTACAGATCTTTGGAGATCGCCAGGCCCTCACAAACGCGCCCCACACTCGCTTCTGGATTCAGGCCTTCGAAAGAAGTGGCAGGCTCTCGTCGTGGTTGAATCTCGTGTGAAGGATGCATGATCTGGGAAAAAGTTGTCGCACTCGCAGGAGTGTTATGTCCATCATCACTAGTCGCTGTCGGGGGGGACTGTCTCGACAGTGAGAGACTCTGGGAGGATTCTTGAAAAGGCTCTCTGGCTTTGGAAAGAGGCGGATCACCCGCGGGTAAGACATTACTTGAGATGGCGGCATCGGGAGAAGCATCGGGAGAATCACGCGGGGTGGCTTTCCTCGCAGGGCGTCCATTGCGTGCATTGGTGTGCCTACGAGCGTTTTTTTGGGTACTCCCTTTAGAACATCAGATCAGTTTTTGGGGCGTTTTATTTTAAAAAAAGACAAAAACATGTAACGGCTGATTAGGGCAAGAGGTTTGAACCGACCAATTTTGGGACCTGGCTTTTTGTGACATGTAGGATATTCGCATATGCCGCTTACCCTATCACAGAGGGAACAGATGGGTAAAGCCCGGTTGCTAGGAGAAGAGTTAGGCGTATATTCACGAAGCAAAAGCGATAGCCAGCCCTCAATATTGTGAGCACTAACCACTTCACTTTTCTCCTGGATTTTAAGACTGTCAGTAGGCCGATTCTCCATGGTGGGACAAGTTCGTAAGCATACCTTCTGCAGACATTGCACGAGAATTCGGAAACGGAAAGGCCAGCTGCTTCATGCATGATTTTGCGTGGGCGTCTTAGTCGACCACGGAACAATTTCCAGAAAACTACAAAAGCATCAAAGAACTAGTATGATATCAGCGATGCAGGGTGTGAAGGCAAGGAAGAGGTATGGGGAGTTTGAGCGAAGTTGTAGCTGTGTTAAAAGTCGGCGGCATGTCTTCAACTTATTGTGCCGAGTCATGGCTCGCGAGAACTTCACAGGTCGCGAGGCGGACAACTTCCCAAGTCGCGAAGCGCGAAGTTAGTAATCAAGCCATCGCTTCCGGGTGTTTTTAAGCATGAAGGCCAATTCGCAGAGCTAGCCGAACTAACTTGATGTGCCGGCAACGACGTAGTAGCGTGGCAAGTTCTTTCTATTTACTATTGCCACACCGCCATTGGACACCATATTTTGCCTTTCATAGTAAAGAAGTGGGTAAATTTACACAACTATTACCACATGGGAATTAGAGACTTTTAATCTGATGTTAAGGTTTAGTAAATAGCAGTTGCTGAAATCCACTTGAGGTTATTCAAATTGTTCATGTGCCTCACGGGTGTATATGTGACTAAGTGACGGAGGAACTTCGTCGAGCCGGCTTCAGAGACCATTGTGAGTTCGGCCGTCTAGTTCGTTGTCGTAGCGATTGCCTCAAAACAGGCGATGGGCAGAATGGAATTACATAAGTGGACAGCTTAGTATATAACTACCATGTTAGTGAGCTTTGAACATCGCCTCTGTTCTCAATAAGTTTCATCTGTTTCAGCACAGCCTACTTGTCTCATAAACACAGCGACATTACCATCCACCTTCGACTTCGAACTACACAAGCTTCTTCAACCATACCGGTTTGCACAGATTAAGCTCCGACACAATGGCTACCAAGAAAATTATCGCAGTACTCGGTTCAACAGGCAATCAGGGTGGCTCTGTTGCCAAGATATTCCTGAGTGATCCTAAACTCAAGAAAGATTGGACTGTCCGTGCTATTACCCGAGACGTTACTAAGGCGTCTGCCAAGAAGCTTGAAAGCCAAGGTGCTGAGCTTGTTGCAGTAAGTTCAGAAGAGGAGCCGTCTCGTTCTTCAGCCAAGACAAATCTCTACGATCTAAGTAACTGACGGCGGTAGGCCGACATAAATGACGGCAAGTCATTAGCCAAGGCGTTTTCTGGTGCTGCAGCGATTTTTGCTGTCACAAACTACTGGGATACTATGAGCAAAGAACGTGAAGAGCAACAAGGCAGGACCATTGTGGATGCGGCGAAGGTTAGCTAAGCTTGTGCATGATTGACTGTTTTGAGCTCAAATACTAAGCTATCGGATATAGGATGCTCGAGTACAACACTTTATTTACAGTTCGTTAATCGATGTTGCTAAAGGTAAGCTCCTATTTGCCCCCCAGATCACAAATCACAAGAAATGTTTTAGTTATACTCATGCGTTGTAGCTACTAATGGTAAATTGGCCAATGTTTATCATTTCGATAGTAAGGCCGCTGTTGAGCAATATGCTCGGGACGCTGGAATCCCAGCAACTTTCTTTCAGCCGGGTTTCTTCATGTCGAATATCCCTGGACAGCTGCTCGCTCAAGAGTCGCCGGAAAAGCCGTGGACACTGGCGCTGCCAACCCCAGAAACAGCGCCATTCCCCATGTTTGACGCTGAGGCTGATACGGGAAAGTTTGTCAAGGCCATCATACTGAAGCGTGACGAGGTCCTAGGCAAGCGTGTGCTTGGTGCCACAGCATACCAGACTCCCACAGAGATTCTTGCTGACTTTAAGAGCGCCTTCCCTAATGCCGGCAAAGATGCTAAATTCTTCTCCCTCCCTCACGAAATGTTTACAGCTACATTGAAAGGACAAGGGATGCCAGATTTTGCAGCTGAAGAACTATTGCAAAATTTCCGCCTCATGGATGAGGGTGGTTACTACGCTGGAGAGAAATTAGACTGGAGCTTATCTATTCTCGAGGACAAGCCAACAACTTGGCTGGAACATTTGAAGGCAGCAAAGGCTTTCCAAGGCCTGAATTAGCCATTGAAAGGGTAAATGATGGCTTCTCATCTAGGCAGGGTAGTACTCATGGGATAGTTTGTTGAAGGAGTTAGAAATAAAAATATTACTTCAGCGGAAGTGACGCAGTGACCAAATCCGTGCTCCAATTACAAGCTATTATCATGTCATGAATGAGTTGCGATGGACTTGAGAATGAATAAAGCAACCCAAGACTAAAAGTCTGACGTTTTTAGTCAATATATTGTGACCGTTTCATCCGAGTAACCTTGAAAATACGATGTTTCTACGTGACTCTTACTCATACTTGACCAGGCAGAACCCTTGATGCCAACTCTCCGAGATGCCGAGAGCCGCTACTGAGTTGCGAAAGCCGCTGATAAGCTGTGACTCGGCGGGTCCGGAAGTCAAGTAGGTTGCAGCACGCCTCAGCTGTATTCTGGCAGTTTGGCATTCGCGAGAGAAAATACAAGTAAACGCAAACAAGAATGTATGACATAAACACATCACACTGCCGAGGACTAGTTAATTGGGCCACACACTATATTAAATTCAGCAGGCAATACCTGCGTAAGCTTGTACAGTGGTCTGAATCAGATAGAAACCGAACACTTGCACCCAGAATTAATAAAATCATTATACAGAGCGCTCTTGTGAATATTTAAAATTCGCCTCGCATGGCGTAATTGGGCCGGCGTGATACAGGCGCGTTGACTTCGGACAAATTTCATCAGCGGACAATACAACTCCGTGCGGCTAGATTTGTACAATACAAGTCAACTATATATGCATATATATTGCCTTCGGGATGAAATGGATACTCATCAACTGCCTTTTTTTACATCTGAATAAAACAAGTAAAACACGGCCACAGCGCATCCAGTATTGCCATTCTCATTCCAGTAGCTCAAGATGGTTATCACTAAAGAGGGCGAGTATGTTCCTGTGGACCCTAACTTTAGGCCTCTACCGAAGTTCGGCCATTTCAGCGAGCTGGATCCAGAGTACGCAAAGCTCAGACCGATGCTGAATAGCATGATGGAGGGCTTGTGGCAGCCTGAGACATCTTTGGAAGATTTTCGCAAAGCCTGGCTCAACAGCCCACCGGCGCCCGAAGGATGTCCTGCAGAGGGCAAGGATGTCCTTACTGAGACACGGATGATCCCAACTCGTGACGGTGCCGAGATCGAGATTAAATTGTACACGGCTAAAAATAAGCGTCCTGGCTCTGCAATGGTTTTACGCTACCATGGTGGAGGGTGGGTTGTTGGTGGGCATTGCACTGAACATTCCGAAAATCTCATGATTGCCGGTTGGACAAATTCAGTAGTGGTCAGTGTTGATTATAGACAGTAAGTGGAATACGAATGGGGAAAAAATATGGATGGCTCATTTATTAATATGAAATAGGGCCCCCGAGCACAAATTTCCATATGCAGCCAACGACTGCTTCGATGCACTGAAATGGGTAGGTGATCGTGTATATATCACGTTGTGATACACAAATTGCTCAAGCATAGACTCTGGACTAATGTGAGGTAGTGCGGGAAAAACGCTGCTTCACTCGGGGCTGATGCATCGAAAATTATCCTCAACGGAAGTAGTGCTGGTGGAAACCTAGTAAGTCATGCTGCCCAGCATGAAATTCCTTTACAGAGGCTTCCAATCTTGGGACGCGTTAACCAACGACTTAAAAGGCTAGTGTTGTCGCCATCATGGCACGAGACGAAGGATTCCAGGGTATCGTAGCGCAAATTCTCACGTTTCCTGTAACGTGCCATCCCAAATTCTTTCCCAAAGAGGCGTATGAAATGGGTAGCTATCAGCAAAATTCTAACGACAGTGTGGTTACTGCTGCGCGGATGGAATGGTTTTGGGACATGTATATGCCGGAACCGACGACCGACTGGCGCTCCTCGCCGTTGCTTGCACAGTCCCTGAAAAACCTACCACCAACGTGTAAGTTATTAATCATTCAGCCCTATTTTGATGCTCCTGTGCATGAAACTTAATCTCAGCTAATAACCCTGGACTCTACAGTAATCATAGCTGCAGGGTGCGATATTCATCGGGATGAGGCAATCGCGTACGCAGAGAGGTTGCAAAACGAGGGTGTTGACACACAGTTAAAGATATACAAGGGAATGCCGCACTGTTTCTATATGCTTCAGACACATCCACAGACAAAAGACTACTACAAAAGGATAGTAGAATTTGTCGGGAATTTTTCTAGCTAAGCCCAAGCAGTTGGAAACCTCTTCATGATTAGAATGCTGCTGCTATCTACAACACACAATGTATGCAGAATAAAGTGGGCCTGGAAGCGATCCATGTAGCCAGACACTGGACTTAGACGCTATTTGAGCATATGATACTGAATGGGAAACTCCAGTATGTCTTCTGGCTTTCTATGACATATGCATAATAACAAAAGACTCTGAACACTTGCGATCTCGCATAGCACAACAGTCATGAGAGACGTGAAGGCCAATCACTTCTTCAACAACCTGGAATCTTGCATTTCCACTGCCTCGCAAATCATTTGTATAGCAACGACCATAGTTAAATTGAGTATGCCGAGTTTCCCTCTTTGGTTGACAATCCTCCATGTCTCCAGCTGCGAGGCGTGAAACTACACTGAAGGTCGACTGCACTTGCTGCAAGAAAGAGTATGTGGGATTATTTCACACTTGAGATCTTTCTGGCACGAACCGATGGAACATGAAGGCCATTTCCTCAAATATTTGTTGATCCAAAACGTATTCTCTATCTCGCCTTAATACCAGACTGGATCACAAAACAAGCCTTCTCGTGCTCGTTCATCATGAGGATTTCTCAACGGCCGCACGAAGAGCAGTGTCGTTTCGAGGCACAAAGTATGATTTGAAGCGGGGAGGCAGAGCAACCAGGCTCTTGGGGTCTGCATTTCCAGTGACAGGATGGCAGTCCACGTCGTCATACTTCTTGATATAGAAGCTATTGAGCAAGCGGATGAAGACGAGGTAAAGCTCGCGATTGGCCAAGAGAGAGCCAGCACACATACGATAGCCGACACCATATGTGAACAACGGTGCATCAGGTTGCTCAAGCCATCTTTCAGGACGAAAGACTTCAGGATCAGTCCAAAGATTCTCGTCTGTCACATCTATTAGCGCATCTCGTACAGACAATCTTAGCCGTGGAATTAGTGAGGAGCTATGTACCCATGTTGCAAGCCCACGCATTAAGGAATACCATTGTACCCTTGGGAATAACAGTGCCTTGGTATGGCAAATCTTTCACAGAAGCGCGAGGAAGAGCCAGACGGAGAACTGTGTAATACCGAAGAGCCTCCTTGACAAGAGCAACGACGTATGCACACTTTTGATCGTCATTCTCGTCACACATAGGCTGGTCTTCACCATAATGCTTGCGAATTGCCACAATGGCTTTTTCTTGGATCTCGGGATGCTGAGAGAGTAGCGCGACAAACCAAGCAACCTGCGTGGTGACAGTATCTAGACCGCCCGAAAGCATAGTTAGGCTGATTGAAGTGAGCTCATCTTTGCTCAACTTTGCTTCCTTGTCTAGAATAACATTGGCTTGAATACAAGGTTGGTGGGTTCCTGCTGCAATGCGCTCATCAAGAGCGTTGTTGAGATTCGTCAAGTACTTATCTCGGCGATCGCGCATTTCACGGGCCTTGGATGAGTGAAAATTGATGGGGTTCAGGCGCAGAATAGGAATGTAGTCTTGTAAATTCCCTGTGGTTGACCTAAATTTGCTGATCTCTTCTTCAACGTGGGTAATCTCTCCGAATAGATCGTCTTTCTGAGTTTTTAATCGCGTTCCCCAGTTTAGGGTCAGAGCGAGGGAAAGTGAAAGGCGCTGAATCATTGGCATAGGATCCACTGGTGTCTGGCCAGCGTTACCATAGTCGAAAAGTTCTTTAATAAAATCCCTACTTTCCACCTCAAGGTGAGGAACGTAGGTTGCGACAGAAGGTCGATTAAGTGCTGACGCTGCGCCTTTTCTTCGCCGCTTCAACGAGTCGCTGTATGGGGATGTACCAATAGTTGTGCCAGCTGTGTCAGACAGCACCTTTGAGTAGAACAAGTCAATATGTGCAATGTTACAGTTGGGAAAGTGGTCGGCCTCTTGAATGATTCAAGGTAAAACGCGGTATTGCGACATTGTCGTTTTGCTTCACTCACCTTATGAAACGTGTATAGCTCCGGCCTGGAACTTAGTGTTTGGGCATTTGAACCAAACACCGACTTAGCAGCTGAAGCTGAGTTGACGACAACAACAGGAATATTTCCAAGCATGATTTGGTAGACATCGCCGTACTGCTTGGCCCATTGCCGATACTTTTCGGCAGCATTGACACGGATATCCCAGATGTTACCCAACAAAGGAAGACCTTTAGGTCCATTCATATGAGGAATTTTGGCATTCTTGCGGATAATTTCGTTCACCAGAACGTAGATGATAGGGAGAGAGAGAGCGCCAATAAAAAGGTGTTGCACTGAGTCCCGCAGAATTCTCTCCAGCAAGACCGCAGATGCTGCGGAACTTAGCATTGTGGTGGGTTTTTAAACTGTCCCAGAGAGACTTTGTTGTTTTCATTCAAGGGGAGAGAACAAATAATTGAGAGTTCACTGGTATAAGACATGGGATTAGGACTATATAGCAGCACGATACCTGAAGAAAATGCTCTTATATACTAGAGCCTTTGCCCACCACGGCACTGAGACGCTGAGGTAGGCACAGCTGTGAAAGATGGGAGATCCTGGGGCAGTGGGCCTAGTACGAGTCTAGGATGGACTTCCCCACGCGGAATCGGTTTGCTCATTGTGTGCTCGGAATCTCGGAATTTCCCGAGCCAGCCTTTATTATGTGCATACGGAGTAGTCTGCGACTATTCTAGTACCATTCTCAGGGTAACGGAACCAAGGCCTGTCTCCTTCTTTGATCCTCGCCAACCCTCCGTATCCTGCTCACCACACTCGGCTTTTCCGCTCCGCACGCCGCTGCCAATACGTGCTCGCGTGCTGTACGCTCCTCCCTCCCATTTTCGTCATGTCAGACTTCAAACGCACAGAGTACGAAGACCAAGACTCAACCGAGGAACGGCCTGCACCCCCGACTAAACGCAGAAAATACATTGCTGTAGCCTGGTACGCTGCACACTCTGACCGAGGCTCCGGCCCTTTTATTTGTCACTTTTTCTTATATTTTTCCGAATTGGCCTGTCTTTTTGGGATCGAATTATTGACTAAGTGGACAAACATATGGGCAAAGAGGGTCAACTTGACTACAGCTGACTTGACATCATGAGTATAGTGATGAATGCAGGCGGCGTAAACTGAAGTGTGTCCCGGGTCAGACCGACGATTGCTGCCAGAGGTGTGCGTCCAAAGGGCTGGCCACATGCAGCTACAAAGCTCTCCGTCATGACTTTGTAGATAGATCTACGTGTGGGAACGAGTGAGCCCCCATTCCAAGGTTCCCCTATCATCATGTTCATCCCGGTAGCTGGAAGACGAGACTGATCTTGTTCCCAAATCGCAGTGTTGTATCGGCGCTGAGTCAAGATGTAAAGATTCTGAAGGATACAATGAACGAGTGGATGGCAGTAGTCAGACAACTCACCACGAATGGAGCTGCCGAACTTCCTCGGCGTCCCCCCAGCGCTAACCCAACATCTGATAACTTCCTGCCCCGAGAAACCCATGCCCCTGCTTCACCACAAGGCATATCTTGCTCTGAATCATTACCGTCCACCTCAGTGACCAATACTGTAGTGGTAAGACCTCTACCCCTAGCCTTCAAATCGGTTGAGATAGATGACATCTTGCTAATCCATGTAGACTGGCCAAACTACTTCAACGCATCTAGATCAAAATGTACCAGAGAAGCCTCAGTTTATTGGTCTTACCAGATCTGTCCATGGTGTTGAAGTAGGCGAACAGGTCTTGTCGCGGGTGGAATTCCCGCGAGTCGAATTGCCTCCTCCTAACGGACAGCAGTTTCGTTCTTTGTCTCCCAAAGAGCCAGATCAGCGTTTTGACGAGAATTTCTGGAAAGGTTGCAATCCTTCCGAGTTTGCGCGCTTGATTCACGTCTTTCAGGAAGAAGTGGAGTCAGTATATCCATGCCTGGACACGAATTATCTCATCTCCAACGCGCCTGAGGTCATCAGGTTGGGTCAGTTATCTACGGACGCTACTCAAAAGGTTTCTGATAGACAGAGTTCGTGCATCGGCTTAAAGGATTTACAGCTTGCCAAAATTGCTATTGCCACAGCAATGGTAATCGAAGGACATGGGAAGAGTGATAACAGCACATCAATGGCTATCTCAGTCGAACGAAGCGTCATGAGCATTCTGCAGCCAAGTTCGGGCCTGAAGGACTTGCAGTTGCTTATTCTTCTAGTGAGAATAATTTACTTACAATTCATTCGATATCAGATAATAACTGACATGGCTTTGTTCATCAGAGTATATACTACTTTCATATCGACGAGGATCTACTCGCTTGGCGAACCATAGGCCACGCCTGTCGTGAAGCACTTATGCTAGGCCTACATCGGCGAATCACGCTATTTGAAACGTTTCCTATTAAGGAACACCGCAATTTGGCTGTGAGAGTCTTCTGGACCATCTATGTGCTTGACCGGCGCTGGAGCTTTGGCACCAACCTGTCATTTGCATTGGTGGATCGCGATATTGACATGGAACTGCCAGAGCCAGTGAGAATTATCCATATGAACAACGGACTCGAGATGTTTCTCTCAAGTTCCAGGCTAACGGCTTCTCTAGGGCGAGGATTGTGCATACCTCCAATGCATGGTCGGATATGGTCGCTTATGTTCGACTATGTGGGATGCACTGATGCCCTTTGGGTTCCATGCCAATGAGAACCCCGAAGAGAAAACGACAGAACTTGACACAAAGACACAAGAATGGCTTGAGTCGATCCCTGTGCAACTCCGACTCTGTCACCCGCGACTCGGTCTGGCTACCCGGGCACAGCCTCCCGTGTTGCACAGATTGCGGGCCTTGCTCTACTTACGAGGCAACCATTTTCGCATTTTGATATACCGATACTATCTCCTTGGGCCAAATCGGATCAGGAACTCGTATCGCAACGCATGGTTAGCTGTCGAAATTGCGCAAGACAGCATCCAAGTGCTAGTCCATCTCAACGATTCCTCGGATATTTACCGACGTCAGCAGGCCGCTTTCAATTACTTCTTGCTTAGCGCCCTGGCTATTCTTTTCCTAGCCGTTTGTAATGACCCCGAAGCCTTTGCCGCGCCGTGTAAGAAATCGCTTCATTCAGCTATTGAGCTCCTGCGCCATTTTTCTAGCAAGAGCCGGGGGAGTCGCAGACTTTGGAGCAGCGTCCGAGGCATCATCCCCCGGCTTCGTCGGCTTGAGAGTCGCAGAACTGAGGACGTTGCCCAACAGGATGTAGCAAGTCCTCGGAGAGAAGCAAACAGAACAAGTGAAGGATCTACGGACACAGTCCCGGCATTGCGGTCCCCTGAGGTGGGACCTACAGGAGATACCAGTCTTTGTGAAGGCGGTACCAGTGCTCTCAGAAAGCCTGCATTGAACAGATGGGGATCCTACAACGTTGACAGTTACTCAAGACCTCCCCCAGGATATAATAGGGACTCTGAGATGACCCCTGATTTGACCACACCAGATTTCGTCAGCATGAGCAATGAACTTATGGGGCTCTTTGAGACATTTGAACAAGGTCCATATCCTCCTCCGCAAGCTGATACCGCGGGCTGTTGGGAAGATAACATTTATGCCCCAAATTTTCTGAGTGAGGATCAAGGGGAGATCTCATGGCATTTTAACGAGCTGATCCAATAGAACAGAATGCGTTTACACGCGATAGCCAAAATTAAGAAGATTCAGGAATCTTGCAGTTCTCTATCCACGTTAAGTCCTAGGCAGTGAAGTACAAAATTGGAGGCTATATATTGACTGTGTGCTTAAAGAAACTTCCGCTCGCAATTGAGTCTACAGTTGGTTCTCGTAGTATACCATCATGACCCCTTGATGAACCGTCTTAGCAAAAGCCTTCAACTCTGCGTGAGCGACACATTCATTATCGTAGTAGACCATGTCGTCCAATGAGTTGAACTCTGAATGGGCCGCTACCGTGAAGCCTTGCGCACGTTGATCGGGCTTGGTAGATCCGGCGGTGACTGAGAGAATGTATGGTTTATTGTCCTTTAGGCAGCATAGAAATGAGCAAGAGTTTCCCCAGAACTATTGATTGAAGATTTGGTTGCAGCATTGTGCGGCATTGAAGTAAAGCCTGTCGACGTACCTTCAATGCTCTAGTAGGCATATTTCTGTAAATGTCTATCAATTTTTCTTGGTCAACTGCGCTTGGGATTTTGAACAACGTCAAACGATGGATGCGTCTGTCTGCCATGGTTTCCAGTTTATCCCTAAAAAACAAAGAACTAGAAGGGGGGAACAGCTGATTTGGGACGCTTTAATTCGAGGACATGCAACTCTTAATATTTAAATACCACTTATGACACATCGAGGCAAAGAGTAATAGGTGATGTGCCAAAGTGGGTAGTGGCGGCGCAGTCGGAAGCGGAAATCTCCAATTCCGAGCTGTCGAGTGGATTCAGAGATAGCAGTCCAACTCGCATCCCCATAATGCGGTGCTGACACGCCGGGTTACCTCATTGAAATACTTCTATTGTTATTTTCAACGCCAAATGCGGCAAATGGGGATTCTCGAGGCTGCCCTGGACCTGTTCCGTCCAGGTCAATATCGTTACCATTTATCAACAGCTGTGTAAGTGCGGAGGAACTAAAAACAAAGAGATTGATACGTAGGTGCTTAAAACCCTCCGTCTCCGCGTTAGTCTGGAAAGTCTAGTATCTTACAAGATATGTCTTTCTACTATTATTAACAGTTCATCTTCTTTGTTCAATTACCAATGTTTCTCAATGCTCTCTTGTTGAGCGGTTCGCGATCATGGCATAATCGGAATGTTCCGAAGACCCGAGGCCTCAGACGTCGGGTTAGCGCCGTGCAAAGACAGCGCCCCCCAACCAGGCGGGAATGGGACTTCTCACGTAAAGGGTCTCGGAGAGCTCGAACTCCGAACTTTGAAAACAGTGACGGAGAGCCTCTCGGCATTTTTGCAGCTTCTAAGCCGAATTGGCACCCATTGGCAGTGTGCCTCCGGTTAATCCAGATCTACATCACGCGGCGTTGGCCCGTATTTTATACGATTTACTCTCAATGTCTCGTGCACGGTTAGGCACGAACCTGTTTAAATAAGGGCCGTTAAGACTGGAGGTATGACCTTGTGATCAGTTGGACATACCAGTGAAATCATCTGAATCTGAAGTATGCACACTTGCTGAATATAGTGAAAGTAATAGCGGGCATGATGTAATTTGTGCACGTAGTCCGTAGGCAATCCTCAAAAAGCGTGGCCTTGGGGGCCATCGTTCAAGGCAACAACGCGAGAAGAGGCGATCTAGGTATTCAGTTATAATGGCAAAGTCGCTCGGCTCTGCTTCGGCAGTGTATTTATTAGCTTCATGCTTACCAAAAACAACAAGCTCGGAGCCTCGGACAGCTCGTCGTGGTCGATCACGCTGAGGAGTACATTTTTGGGCATGTTTTAATGAACGATCCAAATATGGGCGCACATGCCACTTGGACCGTTCAATGTCAAGTAGTTGTGCACGGCCATCAGCCCATGGGTCGAACTTGCAGTTGCCCTAGAATCGATGACAGATGTTGGTCTATTCAACAATGCAGATGTGGAGGCGTATCCACGAGAAGTCGAACAAAAGAAGCGTTCTCGGCATCAATTTGGAAGTGTCTCCGTGCAGTAAAAGCATAAGCTACCATCTACGACTTCCGTCTTTCGCTTTGGACGCTAACGGGGTGACTCCAACGATATTATAGCAGCACAAAGAAACCCCACTACGTGCAGTCACGCAAACTTTGTCTCAGCACCTGCTGTGGTCATGGCCCCAGACTATTGCCCATCACAACATATCTGGATACCACGTGTGCACCGGAGACCTTTCAGGCTTGAATCCTAGATGCGAATTGGGTCTGAATGGGAGGAAACCTGCTCTGAAAGATTAACGGGGTCCTTATTTCCCTCGAATTGTGCGGCGGCAAGCAAGGTAAATTATAATGAGAATGAAGTTTCGTTCATCATGAAATGATACGCCAGTTCGTCTTGTGGCAATTCTGATGTACTTAGAGAACGCCGAGGAACCGTCTAGCCATCGCATGTAAATAAGAAATTGGCCTTACTTGGAGGTTCAAAAATGTAAAGGTTTCACCATGCCAGAAGCAACTCTTCAAATCTATGGCTTAAATATAGGCACCTGTAAGGCTCGCAGTTCGAATTCACCATCCTCAATCTTAGATGCTTAAGAACATGTTCAGATATGTATCGTGCTATATACGTGTTCAAGTATAGACAATAGAAGTACAAGATATATACTGATGACTGTCCACGACAATGTCCAGAGAGTCAACCCTTTATGTTTCCGTAAGGCTCATAGCACATCTTCGTTGCCTTATGCTAGACCTTTATTTTTCTTTGGCATCATTCCCAGAATTACTGGCAGGATGACCACCAAACACTGCTAACAACGCATGTGTAAGGCGCCTGGCACTGAGTAGGGCCGGTATACCCTTGGCCTCCGCACTGACCCCATTGCGGCACAGAGCCGCCGCCAGTTGGGCCGGTAGAACCACCACTAGTAGAGGTAGGCTTGGAACCGCCACTAGAACTGGTAGGCGGAGGGGTTGAACCAGAGGCAGCAAGATCACTGACAACCTGGTCCAGGAAACCGGAATTCAGGTATAACTGGGACATATCCCACATCATGATACCCGCAAAGCTTGAGTATTGCTTGGTAAATGAGATCACGGCGGAAAGCTGGGTTCCGGAGACGTATCCACTGGCAGCACCAGTGTTGGCGGCGATACCGAGCAGAATCCTCACGTTGGGGTTCTTGCTGACGGTGTGTGCCCAGTTGTCCCAGACATCAAAGTTGTAGTTCCATTGGGTCGTTGCTCCAGGGACATAGCTGCTGACGCCGCATCCGTTGTTATAATACTGGATCATGATGAAGTCGAAGGAAACAGAACCGTTTAGAGCAGGGTTGTCGGCGTAATCGGGATAGACGCATTGTGGTGCAGCAGACAGGTAGAATTTCCTGCCTGCGGAAGCTGCAGAAGCGTCCATCAAACTCCGCAACTCAATAGCAAAAGTGGCCAGATTATTGACGCCAGACTCAAAATCGAAGTCGACGCCATCCACCACTGCTGAACCAAAAGGGCGGTCTACATTGCTGTTTGGATTAACAGGTCCAAACATATTCCAAACCGCCTGAGCCGCGGATGTGGCAGCACTAGTGGACGAAAAACCGCCTTGTGTATAAGATCCACCTCCAAGTGAAATTAGGATGGTCTTGCCGTATGTTTTCTGGCATGTGATGATGTCCTCCCTAAAGAATATCTATAAGCCTCTGATATTGGAGGAATTCGCTGCGAGTCAGAGTATCACTTACTCGATTTGAGGGCAATCAAGTGCATTGGCATTGTCGGGGAAGGCTGTACAGTTGTTGCCCGCATTGGCGAAGTTGGTAATGACCGGGCTGATGCCATTCATAAACCCAATCGGGATGATCTATGAGAAGTTAGCCTGGCTACTGAGTGACAAGCGCATCATTCGTAATGCCTACATCTATTTCAGCGTCTAGAAGTATTTATTAGCTTTCATGAATTTATCCAAGTGGATGTTTAGCTTACTGGCACAGTAGGTAGACAAGCGCTGCTGGGAGGTTGCTTGGTTTGCTGAATTTTGACCTGTACACGACGTATTAATAGGAAGCTGAAGCCTAGAGAGTCTATTGAGCTCACCCCAGTACACGGCAATGTTTTGCGTCGAGCTAGCGTTGAAACCGGCTCGCACCGAAGGTAGGGCGGCCAGCAAGGCTCCTAGATAAGCCCGTGACTGAACCATGTTGGCCTATGTAATTTGTAGAGCCGCAGATAACTTGTTGGTATTATCTCAAAGATGGAATGATGGTTGATGGCAATTTCCGAAATGCTACTTCCTCTCATATATAATCAGCTCACAGCATAGAGGCTCAACACTAAGAGCTTAGATTGTGAGGTGGTATTGAGGAACTGTAAATGCTCCAAGCTTTACTTCACGAGGATAGGTGGGGCAGCAAGTACCACGTTTCGAAACAGCAACCCATGATATCAGCACAACGTTGTATCTGGGGAAGATGGGGGAAAATTTCACAGCAAGTAGGAACTAAATGCAAGTTTATAATAAACTCGTGTGCCAGCATGTTGCATGCCAGGTGACTTGTTTGATCAAGTGATGCGGGCCAGGGAATGGCTGGAGAGAGGGCGAGAGGAATGGAGACCTAGCCATGGGATTCAGAAACGTGCACCCTAAATTACCAGCTATAGCAGCTGTCAATTGCGGGTTGGTGTACTGGTGAGACACAAAGTGCCAAGGCATAGTCATTGCAGATATGGTCGCATCTGTGATAGGTACAGTTCAGGAACCTACATAGCTGGGTTACAATTTGCTTGCCGATTGTGATACTGTAACGTGGGAGTTCGAGTCACGTTTAGGCTATGTTGCGTCAAATTAATCTATCATTTCATTTACTTGTTTGCTCCTGCGAGTCCCCTGACTATGATAACTACTTAATCGCGGCGCCAGGAATTTTGCCAACTGCCTAGATTAGCAATTCTCGGCAATACGGAAGCAATAGTCTGCCGACTGACCAATTGTGTTGAGTGGTACCTGCGCTACAATTTTGTAATTGCCTAATCCGTACTATCAACACCGGACGCGAAGCTCTGAGTTTTAGCGGTATTTCATGATGGTCTCTCTAGTCGTAACAAACATATTGAGCGCTTATTGGGACTGTTGGAAACATATGCAACGATCCAGTCAAAGCTGAGTGGAGCATATTCTATCAGAAACACAGGGAAGTAGCCGTCAATTAGTATGTATCCCATACCTACTTTGGGAGGAGGCTCAAAATTCGCTTTAATAAGCGTTGGAGAGGGGGGATAGGTTTGGCGCACGGTAGGGTACCTAGGATACTGATCTTCTTCAGAGCTTTTCATCCCTGGCTTTATTTGTATTCCCCCGTCCTACCCATCTAACTTTACGTTGAAGTAGGACTACTACGAATATAAGGCCAGCATAATGCGATAACTGAGAGGCTGTGCCACGTTGATGGTGGTATAAATCACAACAGTTAAGCCGCTAGTACTAACGATTTTCTTGATCAGAAAGCCTGTAGTAAATATGAAGAATGGATTTTTTGTAGTTGCCTATGTGCACACTCGAGATATTACTTCTTTTTGTTATAATCTTACTTCAGGATTAAAATGTATTTTACGTTATTTGTGATGTGATAATACTCAGGATGATGTTTTTTCCTCTCTCGTTTGAAACTTCAACATTTTCTGGCTGTAGCAAACGGTTTGCAGAGAAAAAGGGATCAGGAAGTGAATCAGCGTGCAGAAACAGTCAACCCGCACATATGCACAGCACTAAATCATCTGGGATATTGAGAGTATTCTCCCTTATGTACTCCGTATTCGTATGCACACATTCATCTTGCGGTATCTATTGTTTTTTTTTTTGTAAACCGCTGGTGTAGGTTACGCAGAACACTTTGTGTAATTTAGCCATCTAAGCTTAGGTAGTGCCCAGCCTGGAACTAACGAAAACCGCACCGGGTTAACATGGCTCCGTTCTTCCCCGCCAAACTAACTCATGGGGATATAGTGGGATAACTATCGATTCGGTGCATGGGGCAGTTACTCCAGCTCCTTTCTTTGAACGTTCAGCTGTTATCTTACAATAACTGAGTCAGTCAACAGTCAACTCGGGTATCGATTGCTTATGATTCTACGTTGCTATGCATCAGTATTCATAGCCCTCTCTCTATCCTCATCCTGACCATCTCAGTTCTTACCATGACAACTGCGCCGGACACAAATGACAACCCAGATCTTCATGACGGAGCTTGCTCTACATGTCGACGCAAGAAACAGAAATGCTCTCGCGAAGAACCTTGCCGAGCCTGCATTTCGAGCGGCTCCGATTGTATTTATGAGAACGCTCAGCGTCGCGGCGCCAAGCCTGGATATATAGATACCCTCATCAAACGCATGGACACACTCGAGGCGTTGGTTTTGGGACAATCAATGCTGCTTGGGCCTGCCATTACTCCCACCAAGGATGCGTCAGATGATCCGCCGGACCTGGGTGAGATGCTGCAATTGGTTCGACAACGGCTACTTCAGCAAAACAGGAAAAGACGGCGGACTCACAGCGCTTCCAATTGCTCGTCACCATCGGCTACATCTGTTTTGGTCCCACTAAGTCACTCTAAAGGGCGCGGGAATAACGATGCCTCCTCGGCGGTGCACTTATCGGGGGCCTCTCCCAAGGCGTCTGTTCCGCCACTCCACATGATGCGAGAACTTGTCAATATTTACTTTAACCGCATACACCCGTGGATACCCATTTTACACAGACCGGATATTGAGGCAGCGTTGGAAACTCAAAATGGAAGTCTCCCTGATATTGTGCTGCTAGCTATGACTGCGGTCAGCATCCGATTCTACACTTCTGACCGCCAGATCCAGGACCTATACAGTCGTCGATGCCATGACGCTGTGGTTCTTGCCTGTATGGATCGTTTTTCGGTGCAAACGCTGCAGGCAAGTATAATCCTCGCGTTCAACACAATCGGCAGTGGTAAAGGGCCCACGAGTTGGTCTATAGTTTCGTCTGCAACTCGAATTGTGGAACAGCTAGGATTGGCCGTGGAAGACGAAGGAATGTCGCAAAACAGGCTTCTTAATCGCATAGGGTTTTTACCGCCAGCGAGGAATTGGACGGAAAAAGAATCTCTCCGGAGAATATTTTGGTGCATCTTCCTCTTGGATCGGTTTTGCTCTGTCGCTACCGGCTGGAATACTGGACTATCTATTGACCACATCAAGAGGCGTCTCCCTGTCGAGGGGTGCTTCTGGAGAGACCAAGTGAATAAAACCGCAAAGTTTTTTGACATTGACAGCAACAAAATAGAGCCAGATGTCGACACAGATGCCATGGGGGGGCTGGCATACCTCATCGAAGCATCCGAGTGCCTGAATCGTGTTGCAACCTTTCTTCTGCAAGAGTCCGTCGATCTTTCCAACAGTGAAAGTTTGCGGCAATGGTTTGAGAGATTCCAATCGCTGGATGCTATGCTTATACGTTGGAAAACCTTCCTTCCTACACGATGGCAGGTTGCAGGCATTGATGCCACTGGCAAAATGGATGAAAATCTTACGCTCGCTCACATCACGCACAACACTAGTGTCATCATGCTGCACCAGGTCATGGCGTATCCGGACGCGGTTCTACGCAGTCGCTTGCCAACCGAGAATGCTGCCAAAACATGCATATTGGCGGCTGGTGAGATTGCAACAATAGCCGCCAAATTTATTGCTAACACAGTCGTGGTCATACCGCCCACGCTGAGTTTTTGCCTGTTTATTGCCGCAAGGGCTTTGCTCGCTGATGCCAACCACTCAAACACACCAGTGGATACTAACTTTGAGATACTGCTCCAAGCTCTTCAAGAGGGCTCATCCCGGTGGGTTGGCCCCGACGGCTCCACGGAGAGGGACAACTTGGCGGGCCAATTTGCCGACAGACTCGACGCTGCTTGGAAGTCTCGGTCACCTGTTAATATCCGTACGGTCGCTTTTGAAGACGACCATAGCACGTTCCCCATATCCTTTGCGAGTCCGCCGATACCGGACATATTTCGCGATGCTTCCGCCAATCTTTCGTCCACGTTTGGTGCAATGGTGCCAGAGCCTTACAACGACCCGGATATGGACTTTCAAAGCTTCGATCGTATCTTTACTTGGACCGACGAAATGATTGACAACGGTCTGAATTTACCATGATCATACCCTCAGGCAAGACGAACGGGTGTGGGAAAGTCGATACGTATCCATCTGTAATTGCACTTTCATATTATCAACCTAATGCAGTACAGTAATAAAACTAAAGCTTTAGCGTCACCGACTTTACTTCAAAATACGATTCCAACCCCATGCGGCCGTTCTCTCTGCCAGTACCAGACTCTTTCCAGCCACCAAAAGGCATGTCATACGGACCCGTTTCACTGCTACAGTTCACCGTGATCATGCCCGCCTCAAAGGCTTTCACCAGCCGAAACGCCCGTGACACGTCTCGTGTGAACACGGTACCGTGGAGACCGTACTGTGTATCGTTACACTCCGTTATCACTTCGTCTTCTGTATCAAACGGCTGGATGGCAACAACTGGCCCAAAGACTTCCGTTTTCAGAATATTCGCACTTTTTGGAACTTGAACGAAGATTGTAGGCTCGATGTAATAGCCTTTATCCTTGGTTCGACAACCTCCTGAGATCAAGGAAGCACCTTCGTTCTTTGCCTCATCAATTAGTCTGAGAATATTGTCGAACTGTGTCTTATCTACTTGTGGACCGAAGTTTGTCGATTCAAGACGTGGGTCGCCCACATTAATGTCCAGAAATTTAGGTTTGAAAGTGTCCACGAATTTGGTGAATACTCCTCTTTGAACGTATATGCGCGAGTTTGAAACGCATATCTGACCAGAGTTGAACTTGATGCTGGCTGCGACAGACTCAGCGGCCTTTTCCAAATCTGCATCATCGAAAATGACGGCTGGATTCTTGCCTCCAGTTTCGACACAGACTCTCTTCATATTACTCTTTGCGGCCGCTTCCATAAGCATCTTCGCCGCGCGGGTCGAACCCGTGAAGGAGATCTTGCGAATCTGCATGTGGCTTGACAATGCGTGCCCGGCCGTATGACCAAACCCAGATAACACATTAATGACACCCGGGGGGAAGCCAGCTTCGGCTGCTAGAGCTGCAAACTTCAGAGATGTCAAAGGTGCCTTCTCTGAAGACTTCAACACAATGGTGTTTCCTGTTACCACGCACGGAATCACTTTCCCGCACCACATAACGATGGGCACGTTCCAAGGAATGATGGCTGCACAAACGCCAAACGGCTGCCGTAGAGTAAAGGTAACAAACCCCGGGGTGTTCAAGCTTGTTTCTCCGTGGATGTCATGTGCCAAACCCGTCGCATGTTTGATACCGTCGATGGCGCCAGAGACGCATGGCAGATAGGAAGATATCGGTATTCCCATGTTTGATGCTTCTAGCTGCGCAATCTCATTCTTGTCCCGGTCAATGAGTTCGGCGAACTTAAGGCACTTTGATATTCTCTCAAACATAGACAAGTCTCTCCATGCTGGGAACGCGGCTGCGGCTGCTTGGACTGCTAGGTCTACATCTTGCTCGTCTGCCTCGTGGACATCGACAATCTTTTCCTCAGTTGTGGGGTTAAACACGGGGAACGTCCTGCCGCTTTTTCCAGGAAGCCATTCTCCATTAATGTGAAGACGTGTCTCAATATTTCCATGACTCATGTTGCTGAGTTCCCCCATTGTTGGTAGACTTGATGAATGGGAGTGTGAATCAAGGTTGGGTCACTGTATAGACCGGTAGCCAATTGCTGTGAATAGAGAACTCGGACCTCAAAGTTCAAGTCCTTAGAAGCTTTATGCTCTGCAATGTAAAGTTATTAGTACCCGCTTACCACTGAGCAACTCAAGTGTGGGGTGCGAGGTACACGACTTCCATGAGGGGGAAGACGGGGACCGGTCCGGCGATATCGCCGCCCCCGACGCCATGGTAACTTCATTTGTCTAGCCACGTTTAGTCTCCACACGTACCTGGGGATACCCCATGGGGAAAATAGGGAATCTAAACCGAAAACAATAATATTGAGAGAAATGGCGGGCTGATGCATCAACCCCAGATTCAGAGTTTTATAAAAGTCGTGGGGTCTGATCTTTGTTTCAATCAGTTGAGCATGAGACTATCCACTCTCTGAGATCATCATTTACTACCTCGTTGCTCAATCTTATCAGCTTTCACTGAAGCTATGACTCAGGACGACGAAAAGCTGGGCTCAGCTGGGAATGTCCGCCATCGTTCCTATACAGAGGATGTGGACGATACTGTCCATGTCACACAATTGCTGGGCGAAGCCAAGCCCAAGCTGTGGACTAAACGCATGTTCCGCCTCTACGGTATCCTCTTGCTCGGGTATCTCTGCATTGTCTTGCAAGGATATGATGGCTCTTTGATGGGTGCCATCAATGCAATGGTGCGAATCAGCCCGATCGCTGCTTTATTATCGAGAGTATTCTTAACTGACAACTGGAGCAGCCACAATATCAGCAATTCTTCGGGTTGTGAGTCGCATATGTAAAAACCAGACGATTCAATTGCTGACCATCTCGAGTTTAGAAAATCTGCCGGATCGTCCACAGGATTAGTATTCGCCATCTTCAATATCGGAAGTCTCTCTGCCCTTCCATTTGCAGGCCCAGTCAATGACTATTGCGGTCGACGATGGGGAATAATGGTTGGTTGCGGCCTCGTTATCGTCGGCACATGCATTCAAGCTCCGTCCCTCAATTCACGAATGTTCCTCGGCGGCCGTTTCCTTTGTGGCTTTGGACAAGGCTTCGTGAATGTCTCCGCCCCGACATTTGTTGCCGAAATGGCTCATCCGCATTGGCGTGGCCCATTATCCGGCTTGATGCAGACGAACTATTTTGTCGGCTCCATCATCGCCAGCTGGATTACTTACGGCACAGCATTCATCAACGGAGAAGGCTCATTCAGGATCCCTTTGTGGCTACAGATGGTCAGTTCTGGTATTGTCTTCTTCGGCATCATGTTTAGCCCTGAAACACCCCGTTGGCTTATGGCACATGGGAAAGCCTCCCAGGCTGAGCAAGTTTTGGCGGAGCTCCATGGAGAGGGGTCCGTGGACAATCCATTCGTGAAACTCCAGATGGCCGAAATGAACTCGCAAATCGGTCACGACGGCTCCGACAAGCGCTGGTGGGACTATCGAGACTTGTTCAACACGCACGCTGCGAGACGTCGAATGGTTTGTGTCGCTGGCATGTCGTGGTTCGGCCAGTACTCAGGAAATGCCCTTGTGAGCTACTACTTTCCGGTCATTGTAGCGCAAACCGGTATCACGAATCCTCACACGCAACTGCTTCTCAACGCATTAAACCCTGTTGTTTCCTGGTTTGCCGCCATTTCTGGAGCCATGCTCCTCGACAGAGTTGGCCGCCGTCCCTTATTAATGAGTGGCGTGTTGGGAATGGCAGTTTGCCTGGCCATTGTCACGGGCTGCACGAAGCTCTCCGTAGATACAGCTAACAAGGCGGCTGGCAATGCTGGTATTTTCTTCATTTACCTATTCAGCGTCATCTTTTCAATCGGTCTTGTCCCCTTACTTCCATTCTACATTGCCGAAACGCTCCCTACTGAGACTCGTGCCAAGGGTACGGCGGTTGGGGCCGTTGTCTCGTCCTCAGCTAGTATTCTCGGACAGTACACAACCGCTGTGGCTATTGAGAAGATTGGGTACTACTATTACATTGTATTTATTGTCTGGGATGTGATTGAGTGTTTGATCATTTACTTCTTCTTTGTGGAGACGAAGAATCGGACATTGGAGGAGATGAATGAAATTTTTGCATCTCCGAATCCTGTCAAAGCTTCTTTGAAGAAGCGGGATATGGTGGAGGTGGTCCAGGAGACTGTCAAGGGGGTTGAGTAGCCGCTTGTCATAAGCGTTACGATTACGCGCCCTGGTGGGCACACACTTATTACTTACATCTCTATTTATGAATTGTTGCGATATATAACTATTTCACAATTAATAGTATCCTTGGATTCAATGTGTCTTATACTCAACGGCTGTTCGAGAGTGTGAACTTCAAGTAGGCGATATCTTGACGCCTTCATTTCATTGATCCGTGCTCGATGACTTGCCATCAGCAAGTTTCGCAGGCATTCTAAGCCCAATCGTTCCAGATATCGGGCAGCAGATTGCCTTCACCTGTTCAAATTTCTCTCCGTGTCAATGTGAGGAAATTTTGCATCACATTCTAGGAGTTTCTTACCCTACCATCTAGCGGGGTGAGCTCCAAGCGTTTGAACTTTTCCTAAGCCAAAAGCTATTACACATCTGCGGCCGATACCTGCTTAATATGGGATCCATTTGTTAAGAATGGCTGAAGTGTGTTTAAATATAGCCCATCTTGGCGTTGTCCACCAATATGCATAGGTCTTACACTCAACAGCTGATAGCTACGGCAGGGGGACTAATTGTCAACACAAATTCCGCGACATTCGCATTTTTTACGGCATTCTTTACTCATAGCTGTCTCCTTGTTAAGTAGTTGCTACATGCCGCCTCGTTTAATTCTCATCGCTGTAGCGAATACTTGGCATCTCGCCTCAAATAGTAGATTAAAGAGTGGCTATTAAGAAAAACACAAACACAGACCTTGCCACTACCACTTTTGTAATCGTTGCTAAAGCAATAGAAGATTCCATAATCATCCAATCGCTCCACAACCAGCTTTGCTCCTTTCTCCCATCTACCGCACAAGACCTGCGTTCTGATGTGGTGTCGGCGGCTGAGCCTTGTACAGCACGAAAAATGGCGGCTGCCGTGATTATCCCACAAACTCCGCCAAGGCCGGGGTAACAGTTTGTACTTGAAAAAGGTATTTCGTGCTGCGATAGCCTATGATCCGATGAACTAGTCTGCCGTTAACCCCGAAGACTTCCTGGCTACAATTTTGACTAACCCTTCGCCTAGAGTCAGTTACCGCCAACGGGCATATTGTCGCGCCGCTCCCTGTGCAGTAGCACCATCGCACTGCACCGGCGAAATTTCCGGGCCGCGTCCGGTTCTAGTTATTACTAGTTCAAGGAAGGTCGGAGGTTGATAGCAGTGAGGACATTAGCTAACCTATAATTTCACGCCGAGCACACCTATGGTGAGGAGATGCCGTTCTTCTATGCATGGAATATTTCATTTATTTGATTCACTTGCATTTTAAAGTCCCCTTCATGTTTTTCTAGAAGTTACTGCTCTCAACATGCTCGAAAATATCACCATTCTTAGTCAATTGGCACCATCTGAAAAGGGGATCGTGACTGACCAGCACTTCCCTACGAGCCGTCAGACAAGCTTGCAGCAGCTCTGTAGCGATGTCCTCAACCACATCGCCGCCGCAAAAATAATGCGAGTCGCATTACGTCCACCACCCACCAACGGCTACTTCCCACATCGGACAGATAGCACTCAGTTTCTCTATCGTTACGAACCATCTCATTGGTGGACTTCTGGGTTCTTCCCCGGATCCCTTTGGCTCCTTTACGAGCGCTCATTGCGTGTCAATCTTTCATTCTCATCGGACGAGATCCTTGCACAGGCACTGAAGTGGCAAAAGGGCATGGAACAGGAGCAACATAACGAGGAAACGCACGATCTTGGTTTCATGATTCTTCCTGCATTCTATCGGCATTACAAACACTTCAATAATGCTGCTAGCAAAGAGATTATCATCAATGCTGGCACTTCGCTTGCCTCGAGATGGAGCGAAAAAGTGCAGTGCTTGCGCTCATGGGACACATGTCTTACCAAACGATTCAATTTCGAGAACAAAAACAAGGATTTCCTGGTTATAATCGACAACATGATGAATCTTGATCTTTTATACATTTGCTCAGAATTGACGGGAGATGATGAGTTTCGGAGAATCGCGACCGCTCATGCTCATACAACGCTACAAAATCACTTACGTGAAGACAGCTCCACTTACCATCTTGTCAATTATAACCCGGAGACGGGAGAGGTAAAGGGTCGGTACACAATCCAGGGCTACGATGATAGCAGCTGCTGGAGTCGAGGTCAGGCTTGGGCGTTGTACGGTTATGCAACCATCTACAAGTACACAAAGGACAGGAAGTTCTTAGATGCAGCAAATAACTGCACCAGATACTTTTGTGACCGCATTGGAAACACCCACGGTGCTGTGGTCTGGGACTTCGATGCGCCACGATCTCCGATCATTCTAGACACATCGGCCGCGGCCATTGCGTGTTCAGGAATACTACTTTTATATCAGCTGACCGGTGACAGCCGCTATCTACCATGGGTAACGCAAATGATGAGATATTGTTTGTCACAAACGTTAGCCCCCGATGGTAGCGATACAGTCCTCAGAGACGCTACTGTTAACAACAATAAAGACGCGATTGAACAATCTTCTCAAACAGGGCTGGTATATGCTGATTATTATTTGTTAGAAGCTGGGAATAGGTTGCTCGACATAGAACTGAACTAGACATAATAGATCAAGTTTATCTACTGATGGCTATGAACAAATAAAGTGAAAGCATTAAGATAATCCCAAGCTGCAAGTTACTCTATGCCTTCTGGACAGCGTTATGTTTGACAAATTATGCTTCGAAGCAGAATGAGACTCAGTAGCCGACCAATCAACTACCGATAGTACCACCGTACCCAATATATCAAAACTAAGATTGATATATAGTACCGTCTTTCGGAATAGATCCATTTGCTAGGAAAGCAGTAATGGCACCAGCCGTGTCACCCTGGAGCGAGAAGCTCGTGTGGCCGCTACCGTTTCTGTAGATACTGAATGCGGTGGGCATATTTGCCCGCATACCAAGGCCCCAAGGCAAAACCGTAGCTTCATCGTAGAACGAATTGACTAGCATCACTGGAGGAAGAGTCTTTTGTCTTGTCAAGTTGAAATCTCTCAGTGGATTCAATGGTTTTACCGGCCAACCGGTACAGACGGTGAGTGCTTGAGAAACAATCCCCATGCCGCGAGAGTGAGGGGCGATAAGAGGTGTGACTGTCCAAATGTTTCGAAAATCTTCAACACTAAGTACTCGATCAGATCTATCGGAGCATGTGATGGCTAGCTCGGGGAATACTGTAGTATTAGCTGGTGGTAGTTGATTCTGAAAGATGACTCCAGATCTTTCTGAATAGGTGTAGTTAAGTGCATAGGAGACGGCCTAATAATTGGGTTCTGCACCTTGGTGTATAGATCTTTGTCGCATTGAACTGGATTGCTCCTACCAGTTCCTCTCATATCTACGCCGATGATGTCAAAATTTTGCACCAAGGGCAACCAATGCCTTAAGTTGCCTCCCGTAGACAGCGCGTTTGCAAGCTGGGATAGTGTTTGTTGTCACGACCCGACTCTTAAGGTCGCGACAATGGGCCAACAGGTTGGCCGGAACCGGATTAACTATAGGCCGACAGACTAATTAGGACTGTTAGCATTCCCTAATAGGAAAGCTAGGAAAGCTAGCTTTTTAAATAATCTACTATAGGAAAGCTAGGAAAGCCAGCTTTTTAATATAATCTAGGATACATAACTGGATATATAAGTTTACTTTATGTTACTTATTAAAATACTTAAATAGCTAGTTATTATTATAGCGTTTATAATATAATTAGATTAGAACTTAGATATCTACTTTTATTTATATTACTAGCTGGTAATAAGATTACCCGTTTACTAACTTAATTGCTTTGCTAATATAAACTATAGAACTACTTTAAGGTTTATCCCTTAGGAATAACTAATCTATAGTATTTATAAGACCTAGTTTATTATATAATAATAACTTTTATTTAAATAGTTACCTTAGACCTATGGGTAATAAGATATAATAGTTAACTAAATATAAGACGTTAACCTTAATAAAATTTATAAAAACCTTACTATAGTATAATAAAAAAACACTGCCTTAGTAAAACTTATAAACTTAAAAAACCTTATATAATAATAAGCTACTACTATACAAAGACTTATAAAATAACTTTAAATACTGTAAAGATAACTACTAATAGTATAACCAGTAGTAAACCCTATAGTTAACCTAGCCCCTATAGTATAACAATAAGAACCCAGTGTCACGACCTGGCTTTTATGGTTGCGACAATGGGTCTACCGGTTAGACGGTTACGGATAAACGTTGGACCGACTAATTAATTAGACACGGATTATTAAATTATTTAATAATCTAATAATCTATAAGCTAGATTATTAGAAATTTTAATAATCTAAGGCAGGATTATCTATACTTATTAATAATCTAGTCTAGGTTAACTAAATATATAAGTTCACTTTATATTACTTATTAAAATACTTAAATAGCTAGTTATTATTATAGCGTTTATAATATAATTAGATTAGAATATAGATATTTACTTTTATTTATATTACTAGCTGGTAATAA